CAACACAAACCAGGCTGGGGTTCAATGATGTAGTGAACTTTCTCAATCAAAGTAGTTGGTATCTCTTTGAAAGGCATTTCAGATTTCAGTAGCAAGTTTCTGAACATAAGGGTGTGATACACAGCCAGCATTGTATTAGGCTTAGACCATGTTCAAAATCTAGTTTCTAGCTAATAGACATTAAGAGAAATATTATGCAAGAAAATGTGTTTGTTTGTTTGTTTTTTTCTGAGAAACTTCAGTATAAAAAATTCTGATATATATATATATCAGTGGTTTCTGCAGCAGCTCTTGGTGGTGGCATTTCTGATGCATGCCATTGCACCAGCTTGGTGGGACGGCACAGTACATGTCCCAGGAGAGCTCAGCTGGGACATGGAGCTCATAAAGAAGAGAAGGTGCCAAAGCATCCGAGCAGCAACTCCTGGGGTCACTGGCAAAGCAAATTTAAACACTGGTGATGAGTTCATCTGAAAAAAACCTGTGTTATCAAACCAAACAGACATAAACCATTCTGCTTTGTGCATGCCTGCCCCAAACTAAAATGCTACCTTGTATTTTCCAAGTGGAAAATTGAAACATGGAGAGAGCTTCTCCCAGTTTATGAACAGAAAATATGATTTAGAGGAAAGGTTTTTTTCCATTGCATGTTTGGTTGAAACTGTATTTTAGAAAGAAACTCCCTTTCATCTGTAATCAGAAAATATCCTTTCATGCCCACAATCTAAAATGTAGGTATTTTTAACATCAAATTATGATGTTCAGAGTCAGCTTTCATTATTTACTAAAGCAAAATTTGAAGGATTGCATTTATGTAGCTGATTAAACCAGTAGTTCTGGGAAGCAAAGTGCCATTAACTGAAGCAGCGCTTTAAAAGGTTATGATAACAACATCTTTACTCATTAAGGAATACCCTAAGATTAGAAAATGACTAAAAATACGCTTTCCTTTTTTGAACAATCTACACAGTGACTGGTTGCATTTTTTTAAGACCAACATTAGTCACTGATTCATTAATATGAATTTATTTGATTCTACATGAATTGTATGGTTTTATTTATAGCCCCAGGCAGGAGTTATTTGTCTGCTGGCTTCTTAATCCAAGTAGAAGCAGTGAAGCTACTCAGGGAAGCACATTAGCAGTAATATCTGCTACAGCATTTCAAGCTTACAGGAACTGAAAACTGAGTAAACGGCCAATAGCCTTCAAAGAGTTCCAGACATTCTATAGACAGAAAATAGGGTAATTATAAAGTGAATTAGCATTCATCTTTGTATTATGTCTGTAGATCAGAAGTGATTATTGCCACTTTCTGAATAGATTCAGAAGGATTTTAAGATGCAAGCAGTGAACAGGATTTCAGATAAGGAGTTGGCTTCATAATTAGGTAGTTTTCTCTTCTGGAAAAAATACTTGTTATCACAGAGGCTCATTTTTTATCAGTTTGTGGATAAGCTGTGCTGCAGCTTATCGTGCTTGTACTGGAGATGGTTTGTGTCTGCTCCAGTTCACGCAGGGTCAATAATTATGTGGACCTAACACTAGAGGAAGCAGAGGAAATGATTTTGCCCTGTCTTTTTTCCCATCTCTTCTGCAATACTTTGTGTTGTGTGCATAGACACCATGTCCTCACAGATAGGCAGTTGTAATGAAACCAGGTTTTGTTTCAAAGTGACATCCTGTTGGGCCATAAATAACTTCAAAAGCTCTTCTCTGCAAAGAGCTACAGCAGAGCAACAAGGGAGGAGTAGCTGTCACATATGGCCATGCCCCGTTGTGGTGAGAACGTGTAGAAAGCAAGAGTCAGATTAGGTTGGACAGGGAGATAACACATTCCTTCCATTTGCTGCTGCTTTGGCTCCCAAAACCCTGAAACACTGTCCCCAGAGGGACCAACCTGCTCCATTGCTTTACTTCCATTTCCTGCAGCAGACTTTATGTGCAATGTCACTTGCTCCTGATGTTCTTGACTGGTTTGAATAGGATAATGAGCTTGCAGGCAGGCTGCATATTCTCCTGGTAGTGTTTTTACTGTGCTTCAGATATTTTCTGATTTACTTCTTTTTTAGGTGCCTTTTCACATAGAAAGCAGAAAGGATGAAGGCATTACTTCTGAACCTCCTGCTCTTCAGCTTGTCAGTAGCCAAAGCAGTGGGTGGCCATGTGTTGTAGTCTTTTGGCAGTCACCTCTGCTACTTGTGTCAACATTAAGGATGCATCTCATTTCTAGATGCTGAGAAATTTGAGTCTATAATGTCAATGTCTGTTTTAAGGAAAGGATTTTGGCAAAATAGGTTTTGCTAATATGAGCATTACTTGGTTGCTCCAGTTTCTCAGTGGTGTATGTACCTGTCAGCACCTTTCAGTTCGCTATGAGTGAGGTAGAGTGGAAGCTTTAGCACCTCAGATATAATTTAAAGGCTGATTTATGTTCTTGGCACAACTGAAACACAACTAAAACCCATCCTGAAATGATACATCTTGCGTCAGAGCTAGCAGATTCTGAGCGTCTCCTCCGCACTGTGATGAGTACCAACCTTGCACCCTCAACCTTCCTCCTCACCACATCCAGGCTGATTTAGGAGATTTTCTTTTATATCTTGGCTTTGATGGGCTCAGTGCAGACACTTATGGAGAGGCTGTGTCCTGGAAAGTTGCCTGGTGGCTTATTGTGTGTTCTACTTTGGAGAGTCCCATCAGGGAGGCTGGGACTTTGCATCCCACCACTGCGTGGTGCCTGTCCTATGGAAATAGAGCCCAGGGGATGGGAAGCAGGCAGTTGTGCTCTTCTCCGTGCTCTTGGTTTGCAGATCAACTGAAGGCTTTGTTCAGCAGAAGAGCAGTTTCCCAGCTCTAACTTGTTATTCCTAGGTATTTATTCAATGTTGACAGCTCACTCTGGCTGTTCAAAGCACAAACCAGAAGCCGGTCCCCACCCCAAGGACTTTCCTTATGAAGTGAGAAATATCCTCTAAGAGCAAAATGCATCTGGTGGCTTGTGCCAAGGCAACACTTGGGCATGCACAGACCTGTCCCTAAGCTGTCTTGTTTCCCTGAGCCTGTGTGCTAAAGAGGAGGTTCATTTTTCAGCCCGGTTTGTTTAAGCAGTGCTAGATCTGGAGCACTGCAGAGCAAGGCACCCACCCACCCATCCTGGAGGATGCACAGGACATCCTGGGATGCCCGTCTAAGGCAGCTTCAACTCTCTGTGCCCATCCGTGCTGACCATGAAGAGCTGCAAATAACAGCTCCTCATGGGAAATCCTTGCACGGGGCAGCAGGTCTGGGCAGTCAGAGGCTTTGTATGTTTACTCATTAGTTCCTTCTAAACCCAAATAAATCTGTTGCAGGGTGATAACATGGTAATCTTTCATAATGTAGAACCAAAAAGAAATGGCAAATTATGCTATGATGAGGTTGCTCAGTTTTGTGTCAGGGGTCACTAGGACAGCTTGGGGGGTGCTCTTCCCTAATGATGGGCTTGTTCTCCATTTGATGTGTGATATTTGGTGCATGGGGCTCTAAGCTATGTCCTCAGTACCTTCTGGTATAATTTACATTTAGAACTGTGATTTTTGACACTAGTTCTTATGCTGTGGTGTAAATGGGGCACTCAGCTGCTGGTAAATTAGTCCGGAATGTGCCTCTTGAGAATGGGGAATGTAGATTTGTGGGTTTGGTGGTTAGCTCTGTGATTTCTGGTTTAAATCAGATGCCTTCACACCTGCCTGGGTGCCCTTCCTGTCTGCAGAGAGTGGTTAAGTAGGTTTTTGCCTCTTTAGCAGAGCCAGGCAGCAGCACCTTTGGTAAAGAAGTGATCCCCCAGCAGAGCTCTGAGATGTGAAGCCTTTCTGACAGCTCCCACTATGCTACATGAGCGCTGCTTCCCCCAGGGTCTGTGCACAGTGACAGACCCTGACAGTCCAAATCAGCACATACACGCACAGGAGCTGCTTTCTCCTATTGTCAGGGGAGCCCACAAAGTGCGTCAGGAAAATACATCTGCCTCCCTTGTGGGGTGTGTGTTAAGTGCTGGAGTCCCACGCGGCCCCTCCGGCTGCGGAGCTCAGACTCGTGTGGCAAAGGCAGACAACAGAGCAGGCTGGTGGAAGGAGAATGCTTTTCCTGTCTTTGTTAGAGGAAGTTTCATTAAGGAAGAAAATGGGTGCTGGACCTCCATGCAGCTAAATGCAGAACTCCACCCTGGAAGCCAATGGGTTTATGCAAAAGCAGAATTTGACTTGCAGTCTTTAGGAGGAAAGCAAAACAGCCTTCCCTGCCTGTGTTGGCTTAGGGAGATGACCCATTTGCATGTGGTGATCAGAAACCAAGAGCTATGTTGAGGAATTAAAGCATTAAGGCTATGCCAACAGAGGTATCTTCAGCATAACAGGAGGCAGACGTAAAAAAGAGCTACTCTCTCATGGGATAAAGGTGCTCTCATCATATCTGCACGGATGTGTGACTCTCCCCATCGCTGGGGTTTTTTCACAATACACAGACCAGCTCAGGCTTTGATGCTCAGGGACAGATTTAATTTCTCTTTGCTCTTCCTGCCAATCTAATTTCTCTTCACCTGCTGATTTGCTCATCCAGATGTTTCCAGGTGGGGACAGAGGTGCTGTTAATTGTGGGAAGCCTTGTAGGCGGTTTCAAAGCGCTGGCTGTGCTATATGATGTGTGCAGAGACTTTAACCCTTCAGGCTGTACCTGACACTTCCAAAGGGGATGGCCTTGTTTTATAAGCCAAGGTAACTCCTTTCCAGAGGGCTTGTTCCATAATGCCTAACATGTGCGGGGGCAAACTAACACTGATGATCCTGCTGGCTTTCCCTGCTCATGTTTTCCGCCAGCCATTTTCTCTCCATTCCTATAATTTCTTTGGCTCAACCCTCTAATCCCCCTTCTCAGCTGAAAAATTCCTCTTGTATTTTTGGTTGTTTTTAGGGAATCAGTTCAAAGCTGGATACTAACTTTCCACCTTCCTCCCCTCCTCAGCAAGCAGCAGAACTCCTCCAAATCCAAGTCTGTTTGGGAGCAGAGGACCAGCCAGATCCGGATGCACAATTTCCGAGCCAGCTGCGAGGCGCTGTACAACGAGCTGGATCCAGAGGAGCGGGTGCGTTACGCCACCACCCTTCACATCAGGCCGGACATGAAGACTCATTTGGACCGACCACTGGTGGTAGAGCCGAGGAGCGAAGGGAGGAACAGCATCAGCAAGCTGAGTCCTGTGGATGTGCAGGAGGTGGAGCAGACCAAAGTCAGCTCTGGTGATGGGACAGAACCTCCACGAAAGCACCATCGACATCGGGATAAAGACAAACTGGGAGAGCAAGAGAAGGGTGATGTGACCAAGGATGAGAACGGGGAACCTGGTGTCAACAATAAGGAGGAGCGGCACAGGCAGCACCGGAGCCGCAGCAAGGAGGTGGAAGGGGGAAGTAAGGAAGGGAAAAGTGATCGGAACAGGGGTCAGGAGGGGGGAAAGAGGCACCATCGCAGGGGTTCGGTGGATGAAGGTGGTGAGAAGGAGCACCGCAGGCACCGGCCTCACCGGCACTCTGCCGACCGGCAAGGCAAGGAAGGCAATGGGACAATCAACGGGGCCAGGAGCGAGCGACGTTCCCGACACCGGGGAGGGTCGAGGTCTGGGAACCGGGAAGGGGAGCCCGGGTCCAAGGGCGAGAACGGAGAAGAGCCTCACAGACGGCACAGGTTCAGGAACAGGGCGCTGTCAACCTACGATTCAGTGGAGAAGGAGAACGGGGAGAAGGAGGGGGAGGCTGGCGAGAAGGAGCACCGGAATCATCAGCCCAAGTAAGTGAGTGCTGCATGGTTAGACTTGTTCCTGGGACAGCTCAGGGGCCACGAGACCACAGACACGATTCAGGGAATTATTTATTCCCCTTCCCAAGGTGTTCCCTGCTGTTCTCGCACCCACGCCAGCTACCACCACAACCTGCAGGTCTGTTTTGCTTCAGTCAGTAATGCCAGAGGCTCCCAAAGGTGGTTTCGGTCCATGATGGACCATAGAATAGCTCAGGTTTATGTAAAGGAATATCCTTGATGTAAATACCATCAGACCCTCTAGGACACATAACATGGAGCAGTGAATTTCAGGGAAGTTTCTGTGGGACAGATATTTAAATAGCATCCAGTCTTGCTTATAGTCCTTTGGTTCTCTTTTTGCTATTTTATGATGAACCTGTCAGCTGCATCACCAATTGTTACAGCAAGTGGCTTCTTTCATTAAGAACACCGATGTACCCCATTTGGTTTAATTCTTATGTAAGTCAAGTGAGAAAAATTGTACTCGTGAAGCATTTAAAGTAGTTAATAAAGAAGGATAGATTGCCTTTTCAGCTTTATTAGTCTGGTGGAAAAGAAATTTCACTGGGATCCTTTAGAATAGCGTTCATGTCACCGTGGAGAGCTGTGAGTGGCACTGAGATAATAATTTTCCTGTCTATATTATCCTCCTTTCAGATGGATTTCAAAACACTTTGCATACTGTTTAGTTTGATCATGTGCACAAGCTCACTTTCCTCCTCACTGAAACAGAGCTACTGCTGCAGAGGAATGCAGAAGCTGTTTAGCCGCATAAAGCAACATTACAGAGGGGTTTAGGACTGGGAAAGAGAGTCACCATATTTAAAATGAGGTCTCAGGAGAACATTAAACAGCAGAATGTCAGAATTCAGTCAGAAGCCAGCTGATGCTGGAAAGCTAATGTCATTGTTACATGCAAGTGCTGTCTGGTCTTTTCTTACGAAGCTCGGTTCTGAGTCTCATTAAACTGAATAAAGTGATGCTCAGTGGCATGGTTCCTCTTAATGTTGGCTCAGAGGACCAGGTCACGTACTGTGATACCAGTAGGTTGTCCTGCAGCCTGTGACTTTCCTGCAAAGGACTTCCATGGAAAAAATAGTCTATGGAACCTATGTTCCATAGGTGTGCATGTGTTCTCTGGCTCCTTCTTGGGCCATATCCAACAAAACCTGCTTTTCTACCTTAGGGAGAATAAGTGTGAGATTGAGGCTAGTGGAAGTGTGAGTGTCCCTGTGCACACCCTTCCCAGCACCTACCTGCAGAAGGTGCCGGAGCAGCCAGAAGATGCTGACAACCAGAAGAACGTGACACGGATGATTCAGCCACCGCTGGACAAAACCACCACTGTGAACATCCCTGTCACCATCACTGCCCCACCGGGGGAGACCACTGTCATACCAAGTGAGTGCCTCTGTCCCCCTGCTTTTTGCTAAGAAGTTGCCAGGAAAAAGGTGACTTTCCAAGGAGCTATCAGCACATGATGGGTGAAGGGGATCTCCTGGCCATCCTTGCAATAGGTGCATAGGAGAAGTTGCTGATACAGGCTCTACAATTCATGCAGCCTGCAGGAACCCAAAAGGCGTTCCTGGGTCGCCTGGTGGTTCTGGAAAAGACCACATCAGGCTCCCTGGAGGTGGCTTAACCAGAGCACATCCATGCATCTTTACATAAGAAAAGGAGTAAGAAAGACAATAAAATGTGGTAACTGAGAGCTGTGCAGCAAAACAAGCAACTGCAGGAGACCTTGTGAGCACAGGAGTAGGTCCTCCTTTATTGCCTTCCTCAGCTGCCATGCTGCAAGCTCCAACTCCAGCAGTGCTGTTTTATGGTTCCCCTGGTGCCCCAGAGGCCTGGTGGGCCACAGACCCCTCAGACAAGGGCATGGGAAGCAGTGGCACTGCATTCAAGCCCACAGGCCAAATTCATACTTCTTGATGTATTGGCTGAGCCCACTGTGGAGCAGCAGGTCTTTTGTGGCGGCACAGCTACCACAGCATCCATCGGGTGACCCTGCTGCTTTGGGTTCCTGCAGGCTGAGTAATTTTAGAGCTTCTTGCAGTCCTCTGTGTCTCAGTTTCAGCAGATCCACCCTCACCTGTCCTTCTCCACAGCTCCATGCATTGGGTCTATCAGTGTGGATCTACCCTGTTGTACAGATGGTCCAGGACCGCCGTGTCCATGACCTGCACTACAAACACCCGGCCACCAGCTCGTTCTGACCAGGTTGTGGCTCATCCCTGGCAGTGTAAGCACAGCCTGGGAAGTCTTGAGACCTGGGAATGCCAAGGAGGATTGCAGTGTGAGATCCAAGAGGTCCACATCAGATTTCAGGCTGTCAGGACACTGCTTTCCAAGAGGCACAGCCAAAATCTGGCGGCTTCTCTATGTGCTTTCTAACTGTGTTGTCAGCCACACGAGACTGGTCTCCCCCCACCATCCTAATTTCTTCTTTTTCTGAAGTGATAATTTTACTATATTGCAATACTGAGTGTCTGTCAATCACAATTTATCAGCCTCCCTCTTTCCTGGCCATTTCCTTGGTATCTGGCTTCAGATGCAATAAGCAGTTTATTGAACATGTCACTCACACACAATGAAGTGTCTTTTTGTTGCAAAATAAAACAAAAAGTAATAAAACCCTGCACCTAACACGTTATAAGTGGGTGGAGGTTTTTGGATTCCAAGTGCTGTGAATGAATAGACAAGTCCGTATCTGTCTAACAAGAGAATTTGTAGTATAAAATGTTTTCCAGTTCATACATTGGAAATTAAGCAAATTATCCTATAAACCCACAGCAAGTAAACTTATGATGGAAATTGGAGAATGCATTTTTAACCTCTGGAAGTGAGATTCAGAACTAACATCTAGAAGAGGTTCATGTAATGAAAAACCTGATGCGAGATGGAGCTTGACACATTTATACATGGGGAGCCCTGCCAAAACTGGGGTGCACTATGCAGGCGCAGGGCTAAGGGTTCCAAGAAATCCCTTCCAAGTCTCTTCCTAACACTGGGAAGTTCGGCATTTAACCCCAAAAGTATTGAAGCTGATCTAAGAATTTGCTCTTCTGCACATTCAAAAGCCAATATGCTTATGAATGCTGATCTATGGGAGAAGATATGAGATAATGGAGTTAGTTAAACTCACTGCCTTTTTTCTTCCCAAGGATCCCTAGCTGCTTCTCGCTCCCTAATAATGTATGATATTTGGAATGGGATTTCCATCCCCAGTTTGGCAGCTCTTGTAGAAATAAGTATAAGGTTTCTTTGTTTGTCAGCACTGGGCATCTTCATTTCCTGGCCATTTCTGATCTATTGCTCATCAGTGCAGCAGTTAAGGAAGATAATTGCAGTGTATATCATAGCGTAGTAAATAGCAGTGATAATAATCAAATGATTGTTCATCACATTTAATCAACGTCTTCAAAGGCTGTTTGCTTTCCCAGCTGCACTGTTTGCATATCCAGCTGTTGCAGGCAGCCTGCTGTGTAAAGATACATTTTTAACTCTCTGGTTTCTGTTTCCTTAAATTCATATTTCAGTGAACAACGTTGAATTTGAAAGTAAAACAGAGGAGAAGAAAGACGTCGATGACTTGACAAAAAATGGGCCTAAACCAATCTTGCCTTACAGTTCCATGTTTATCCTAAGTCCTACAAATCCGTAAGTACTTTGACTCTGTAATACCACTTATTACGGGTTACGGGTACTTCAGGCATGGGCATTCAGAGCAATAACATCAGCTTGATCTTCATCTCTGCCAGTCAAACACATTGGGCAATGACATAAAAGCTTATGGATGCTGCAGACCAGTTGCTGTCTTTCAGCTGGGATTTTCTGCAGGAATATATTGGTAGGACAAGGAAAAGATGCTGCTTTAGACAGACTCTTCCGAACCACCCTGCTGATGGGCTGTTATTTCCTCTGTTGTATCACTATAAAAGGTGGGAGCATCGACCACCACTTGGAGAAACATTACCAGGAGACACTGGTTGGGGGCCTTTTTTGATGTCACCAGATTCCTGCATGTTCCTCAACTGGAATTTGTGCTCTACTGTACTAGGACCCTCACATCCCTGAAAACCTTCAGCTTCTGGGAAAACATGACTGTTTTTCATTTGCCAGGGCTGAGAGTACTGCTCATGGGATCTGTTGGGATTACAGCGTTTCTTCCGCTTCAGGCATCTGTACCTCATGGGGAGCTTTGTACTCAAAGCCTGTAAATACTGAGTATGTCACTCTGAAGGCTGCAGGACTAGACAAGAGCAGCAGGAGTTGTAATAATTGTAGCATGAAGGCCTCTGAGTCATTTTAAGCAGTAACTTGGGGCGATGGAGGGCTTTGAAACTTCTGCCAACCCAGAGATCTCTAGGAGCAGATGTGATTGTCTCTCTCCTGCTCAAGTAGACTTGCTGCAGATCCTTGATGTTGGTGTCTCAGGTTGTACTCCGCATGCTCAGGCGCCTAAGGGGAACCAGGCCCTTCCTTTAGCACCTTGGTTCAAGAGAACAATGAGTGCTCCTGCACCCCCTGCTCTTCAGGACTGCGACATCCTGGCTGCCTGTGCAGCTTGTGGAACAGAACAGGCTGCTCTATGTACTCATCTTTGACATCAGAAATGCTTCTCTGGTGGAATCTACAGTCCAGCACCTCTGGACAGTGGGCAGGCTGCGCACTTTCTTCAGAAACAAGTGCCAGATACATAGTTTAGGCTACAGCCCTCCAAGACAATACAGCTATGAACACAGAAGAAATTCATCAGTGGGAGAAGTTAGAGGCTATCTCTCAACACCAGCTGTTAGAAAAGGAGAATGACCCCAAAATGAGCATTGGCTGTAAAATGTCTGCTGAAGGCAGCATTTCAGAGTGGAAAGCTGGGTGATCCCAAGCCCATAAGGGTCTGAGCTGAGGAGAGGACTGGGCAGACAGAGAAGCAGCAATACCAGAGAAGCTGTGGCTGCCCCATCCCTGGCAGTGTTCAAGGCCAGGTTGGACACAGGGGCTTGGAGCAAGCTGCTCTAGTGGAAGGTGTCCCTGCCTGTGGCAGGGGTTGGAGCTGGATGAGCTTTAAGGTCCCTTCCAATACAAACCATGCTGTGATTTCTATGAAGACTTTAGTTTCATTGTTTGCTTGTTTTCTCCCACCTGCCCCTTCAGTTATGACCTTCTGAATCTCACAGTCCAGGAGCTGGTATGTTGTTTCAGTCACCTTGCAGTTTTCCCCAGTTTTCTCCCCAAAAGCTGCCCTGCAAGATAGTTCCCTGTCTTGCAGTGAAAACACAAAGTTCACTGGGAGAGATGTATTACACAGGACCACGGAGAAAAAAAAGAAGGTAAAGACCAAGCTTCAGGAACATCAGCAGCTTGGTTTTCTTCCTCTGGGCAAGATGCAGATTCAGCTGGATCCTCTTGGGTGTTTTAGTTGGTCCTAACTTGTCAAGGGAGAAGTTAGCTTTCAGCTTTCTGGAGCAGTTTTCCACAACAGCTATTGCTACCCCCCTCCCTTCCAATCCCTGCTAGGGATGCGTGACTTGGGTCTTGCCAGTGGGCAAAAATGGTGTGAGAAGCACAAATGCAGTGTGCTACTTTTCAAGTGCTATCGCCATGCATCTAAAATGATTCCTCAAGAACCACTGGCACTTTACAAATGCTTCTGCATCTCACTGCTTGTTATGGACAATGACGATCTAAAAACAGGGACTTGTAATTCCTTCAATGAATTGAGTTTGATGCACGAATTACAGTTACAAATGTTACTGAAAATGTTGGCTTTCACGTCTATGGATTTGTGGAGTATGTAGATGATAATCTTCTCCTGTCAGACTGATAACCAGAGTTCAGGGATCCACAAAAGCACTTTTTTTCATCTTGTTTTGTATCTAATCTGTTTCCTTGGTATTTGTAACTCTTTTTCCTTCTGAATCCATTAGCAATTCAGAGAAAAAGACTATATCAGTAAATGTGAAAAATTAGTTCTAACTGTTCGGATATTTGCTTAGAGAAAATGTGATGTAGGAACTGAATTACACTCTCAGATAACAAGGTTGCTGGTGAGTTGTACCTGTAATTTGATTCTTGGTCAGAACGTAAGTCCTTTATTCAGCAGGCAAATATATTGCAGAGTTCTCTGTGCTGCTAAGTATTGATGAATAGCGGTCAGAAAGAGTTATTAGCTGAAGTCTGTGAGGAGTTTTGCATTTCTTGGAAATTGAAGCATTTGTCACTTTTCTTGGACACAATTTGTTGAGGGGAAAAGTATTAGGTTAAAGCAATCAAATATATTACTGTAAAGTATTTGTGCAGCTTATAAGGCATATTTATCTTAGAATAAATTGCTGGCAGGGGTGCTTGGCAAGGGAGTGATTGGTAGAAGTAATACTCATAGCCACAAAGCCAGTTTCAGCTAAGAGTCTGAGTGCGTAGTGTATATCTCAATTTTAAAGGGATTTATTGGTATTAAAAGGATTTCAAACCTAGTTTTGAACTCACAGGACTTTAGCCTGTGAGTTCAAAGTGAAAAAGAGGGGGGGGATATATAAACATAATTTGCAAAACTGAGTCTGAATGCTTGAAAGCTCTCAATGCTCTTATGATGATAGGTAGATAGAAATTAGATAGATGTCATTGCTTTGCAGAGTGGGTACAGAGCAGTGCAGCGATGTTAAATGTCTTACTTGAGATCTCGCCATAGATCAGCTGCAAATTGAAGTTTAAAGCCATTGATCCTGTTTTCTATTTTCTTACTATTATTGTAACAGGAATTGGAACTGGATGAGCTTTAAGGTCCCTTCCAACCCAAACCATGCTGTGATTTATATGAAGACTTTTTAATTTCATTATGTTGATATTAGGTGATATTCCTTACGATTGTTGTCCTTCTGCCAGCCTTTCATAGCCCTGCACTTGAATTCCAGGACCTGCAATATTCCTCCTAAGTGCTTCTGTTGTTTGCAGGATTCGGCGCCTTTTCCACTACATCGTCAACCTGCGCTATTTCGAGATGGTCATCCTCATAGTTATAGCCCTCAGCAGCATTGCTCTGGCTGCAGAAGACCCTGTCCAAGCGGAGTCACCAAGGAATGATGTGAGTACCAAGCAGCATGGCCACAATAAAGTTGTTCTGCTTCTCCCAGCAGTTCTGCACAAGGCATGTCCATTCCCATCCCTAAAGGGTAACACGGTGCACTGGCAAGTGCAGAACTGGAGCTCTGCATACTCAAATTAGCTTGCTCCACTATCAAAATGTTCGCAATTCCCATCCTTTTCTACTGCTTCAACCAAATGAGAATTTGGAAATCACTGGGTTTATGGCTGGTGTGAGTTACAGGGAAGATGCCTGCAAATCTCACACATCATTCAACAATGGGAAAGGCTCTCTAGTCACAAGCCAGGGCTGACACTGTCCTACTCTCCCCTTCTCCTGCCAGAACAGAGCCCAAGGATGTAAAGCCAGATACGGCTTTTTATCTTGGTAGAGTATGGCAGTAATATCTTAGAATTAGTAGCAAATCTACTTGTTCATGGATATCAAGCCAAATTTGGCATCTTCATAGATGGGTGCTGTTACAAGTAGAAGTAGGAGTATGCCACCTTGAACATGAGAGCATCCTGCTCAGGAGCATTCATAAGGCAGACAGCTGGGTGTCTGTCTCTCAAGCACATTCACAGAGCTAGTTACAGCTGCATGGACAACTGACACTCTACAGAACTGAAGATGATAGAAATTGCAAGATGCAGTTGACTGATTTGAGGCTCTTCAGTGTCAGTAGTTGCGCTATCATGTGATGTTTATAATGACCTAATATCCATTCACTATGTATAATGATATGAATTTGACTGTGAATAGATGGATCCCATCCGTATGAAATTTAGGAGATGGCTGGGTGTTTGAATGGACTGGTATTGCATTTATCAGGATACGTGCTGAGAAGCCTGTGTTCATCCACCCCTTCAATAGATTAAGGAACTGAATTGTTCAGAGCACAGGCTGGCAGACCAGGGCAGGACAGGAATTGCCTGGCCTGGCCTCCTGCTTCTGTGTCTGGTCAGTCCTAGCTTTCTCCGGAGGAGGATCCACAAATTCCCATGTCAATAATGAGCTGAAGTAGCTATGAGCAGTCTATGTCCCTCATCCTTAATAACTGGGGAATGAGTTTTGCAAAAAGGATTTTAGCACTCTCTTACTCTCCCAAGGTCTTTAACAGCACTATCATCAGCTACAGCAGAAGGGAAAACCAGGTTGCTAAACAGATGCTGGTGAATAAGGTCTTTTAGAAAGGATATTTAAATATTTCTATTTGAAATATCCAGTTTTGAGTTATTAAAGCTGCCATACGTGCAGGTGAACTGAAGCAACTCATGGGCATGCACACTGCAGTCTGGCAAGGACTGGAAAACATGTTGCTGTTTAAATCAGATGATGCAAGTTTGTGCCTAAACTGTTTGAAAGCCTCCCATGAGATATTTACCTATTAAAGCAAATAGACTGTTGCTAGAACAGACTCTTTGCTCATGTGCAGCTTATTTCAATGTGTAGCCTCCCCTAATATGAGTTTCTCTTTCCCATTTAGGCTCTGAAATACTTGGATTATATATTTACGGGTGTCTTTACCTTTGAGATGGTGATCAAGGTAAGAAGGTTTCTAAGCAGATAGGTTCACCTTTCACATTTACATATCTGCTTCTGTGAAGCTGGAGAAAAAGAGTGAAGCACTGCAAATATCTCTGAGGTGCCTGGAGAAGTGGTGGTGGTGGAAAGCCTCGCTTCCAAATGCTGTTCCTGGGATAGACAGTGCACAACAGATGCCTTTCTGAAGCAGCTCTCCTGGTTTCTTTAATCTCCCGTTTTATAAAGGAAAATAAGGATATCTTTAGTAGGTGGTTGCGTAAGAGGATAAGAAATGTATCTGATGCAGAAATGTCTGTGCGTGGCTAAGGACACAGGAGCCGATAGACTTCACTGAGACATGTCTGATTCTTCCTTTTTTCCTTTGATGCTGACCAGGAATATTAATAACAACTGATTCTTGGTCTGTCATGTTTCCAAAAGTTGAGGATTTATCTTTTTACTCAGTAGGGTGATAGGTTTTGCTAAGACCATGAGGCGGTAACTTTCCAGAAAGCACAATACTAATAAAGTAAGGATTTATTCTTGGGGTAGTGATGGAGTTAGTTTCTACTGTCAGAGCAAGGTGCAAAAGAGATGAAGAATAAAAACCAGATTTCCTTTGTTCAGTGAAAGGAATTGAAGCTATGTGAGAAAAGCAACCTTACATGGACAGTGTAGAGCTCTCAGAAAATGACGTAAAACCTAACATGCACTTCAAGACTCAACTGTAGGAGGCCTTTAGTAGCATTGCAAGGACGGGGTCAGTCTTGTGCAGACGTGCAATATCCTCTGCCAGTTGTTAACTCCTACTAATATGGTAGGATTGGGGTAGAATGAAATCAAACTGTTTGGATGTTGCACACACAGACTGCTGCTCCCAGAGATTAATGTATGTCTATGCAGAGAGTCCTGTGTAGCAGTTAGGGCTGCTGTCTCTAGTGTTTTTGGTAATGGTTTATTGACTTCAGCTTTGGTTTTGACAGGGCCTATTAGATGAGCATCTTGACTAAGTACCCAGACGATGCCCTGCTGCTGCAGAGCCCTGTAGAAGAGTTTGTTAAGGATCATTTGATTTAGGACATGCCTCTGTTCCTCAGTAGTGTTGATTTGGTACTTGTTTTATTAAAGCTCTTTTCCTCTGTTTCTCCTGAAGATGATTGACCTGGGGCTGTTACTCCACCCTGGCTCCTACTTCCGTGACCTGTGGAATATCCTGGACTTCATTGTGGTCAGTGGGGCCTTGGTGGCATTTGCCTTCTCGTAAGTACATGTTCATTTGCATCCCAATTTCTAGGAAATAAGCTGCAGAGGAGGCAGAACCAGGGCACAGCCCTAGTTGAAGTGCAACGTTTGTGGCTCCGTTTCTCAGTGAAATGTTCAGTTTCTGTCCTTTATCTTCTCAGAGCTGGGGGAAAGCAAAAAAATCATTCCCTATATTTGTGTTGTAGAATCCCTTGAAAATTCTCCCAGCTTTAGGGGCTCATTCAAACCTTAAACCAAAGATTTTTATGACTCTTTGGCCAACTTCTTTTCAAGGACACATGGGAACAGTTTGTGGCAGTCCAGTGTCTTCAGGCAGTTGTTTTAAAACTTGTCCTTACTATGAAAGAACAGTTAATGCCATCAGCTAAGAAGTCTGTGAACTCTTTACAACCTTATTTCTAGAGTCATGGATATTTCTGGTTCATAGACCTTTGGTGTTTCTTCTCCTCCTCCTCTCTCATTCAGGGTACTTTGATTTCCAGACAGTTTCACTTCACAGGTTAACTGCACCCTCCCTGAAACACAGCTCTCTTCTTAGGACATGAAAGAAGCACATAGATCATTATTTAGTGTCATGGAGGATTTTGAGCAACAGTCACAGAGGAATCGCCTTTTAAAAATGAAGATTAGCTTTTCTTTTGAGCATTTTCAAATGAAGAGAGCAGAGGAAGAACAATGCAGGTTATTCAGAACTTGGGGAGCTCAGATTTGGAAGATGGAAAGAAATTTTCCATGTATAGTTGTTGCCTATGGAATAATTGTTTTGCAAATGTTTTCCTGAGACACTCCAGGAGATGACCTGGAAACAGATGTGGCCAGTTTAATCTTCTGCTAGATTAACCTTGAGTAATTACATGAACATTTAGCAGCCCATGTGCAAATTGCACTCACTTGTGTATTGACATTATGATTAGAGAAGGTGAAGGAATTATTTTACTTGCTAATGAGAAAAAACATTCACCTTTGTCGAGGAACTGTGGAATTGTCTTGTATATTCTTGACTGCAAGTAATTTTTAGGCAGCCAGCCACAGCCTTTTATGTGCTCTGCTGATGAAAAGGACTGCCATGTCCCTTGCAGCTCAAAAAGTTTACTGGGACCTTTCTGGTAAGGTTGGCCTGGAGTATTTCTTGAGTTTTTCATTTTCTGAGGTGTCAAAGTTCTTTTCACGTGAAGGCTGTGAGATCTCCTGTTCATTTTAGATCTTCTGTTCTTCATAGCACATGCTGGACAAAAAGCCTAAGCTAATTTCACCAAGGAGTTGATGCGCAGAAGGAGATGGGATTGACATTGTCAGTATGATTTGTGAGCCAGTTGAGGAGTGACACTTTGGGGATATTGGGGTCTGGGCTTTCTGTGCCCAATCCTACGCCAAAGAATTTAGATCTTGGAGCAAGTCATGTCCAATACAAGTTTTTCAAAGGAATTCTGCCCTCCCTTCTTCAAAGGCTTTGTCCTTATTCATTGGAAATTTGATTTTCAGAGAAGCTGACTGCTCCTTTGTAAACAAGATTATCTTGAGATGGGATTGCTGGACTGGTGAATGCCTTGCTTACCTCAAATTTGACATCCCAAACAAGGCTGCTTTCTAAGATGGACCGGATATGTGTGTAGCTTGGTTTCCCTGCACATGAGTTTTATTAACACAACATCTTTCACAAGTGGATGTGGTCAGACTGAGTCAAGCAAAAACTTACTAAAAGAAGCATAGCAAATTTACAGAGCTCCTCTAAATTGAAGAGGGGTAGAAAAGAACAGTAGAATTAGGCACAAGTATTAGTTTGCAGAACAATATTACCCAAGTCCGTCATTCACTGAGAATTTCCCTTTTCCGTTAAGAATTCAAACTTACAAGACAGACTGGGAGATGAGGCATTTTGTGAGCCTTTCAGAGCAACTCCATGTGCTGTGAGAACAGACAGCAGGCTTTGCCTTTAAAACATCTTCCTTTCGAACAAGATTTTCTTAGGGACAAGTTATGTATTAAAATAAGTAATTTTTAATCTTTCTGAGTCTTTTTGTGTTTAGGTTTTCTATTGCTTGCATTGGCCATGAATATCTACCAGCACCTCATCAGCCTCTAAATAAATTACTTGTTACATCCCCAACTGTGCTTCATAATAGTTTGCCCCTAGCTGCTTCTGTTTTACATGCTCTTTGAGTAAGCATTGAGCAGGGATTTGCAGAAAGCCAATGCATTAAATCTGCCTGCCTCTTTATTGTGTCCCAGATTAAAGTGAGTCAAACTTATTTCTGAGACCTGGGGAAATCTGAATTACTTCTGTGGTTTTTATTATGGCTGTAACCTCTTCTACATGCCTATGTTTCTTCAGGCAGGGAATGCTGACATCCAGTTCTGAGAGCACTGCAGTGTCTCTGCTCTAACCTGTGAGCAGGAACCCAGTCACTCATGGGAGATGATTTGCTGTCTGTTCCTCCCAGTCCAGTTATGAACACTATCAAGTCTCAAACTGCTCAAATGAAAGTAGATAGTCACCTCCTTAGCTCAACTGCATGGTTTGGTTAAACCAGGCGGATGCACCAAGCCTGCTGAAGTTGGATAATCCTGAAAAAGAGCTTTTGGAGAGCAATCTGAGTAATCTTCCCCATTTTATTAGTAGGTTTTTTTTCCTAGCAAACACTCCAGGCCTGTCACTCAGCATCAGTGTCACTGTAAAAATGTATTTCATGTGGCTGTTACCAGGTTGTTTGCAAGAATACCTGATTGCCACTCAGTGGGTGGGATTTAATTCATGCATGTTCTTGACCTCCTTGGTGTCCAGTGAAGGTGATACGAATCTACTTCTTCCTGAATAGACATGTCACTGAAAAAGCAGGAAAAACAGCTTCCTGAAAGCTTCCATCTGGAAATGCATCCATCTGGAATATTGCAATAGACTATTTGTTTAGGCAGTATGAGACAGTATCAGTGGTTGCTGCAAGGTTCATAAAATCCATCTCAGTCTCTCAAAGCAGCTATCAGTCTGCTTTGTGCCTGGAGCTGTTTAGAAGCTCTTCTGTGCTTGACTGTACTTCAAAGCAGTAAATACACTTTAAAAGAAGGCCCCCAGTGAGATGCTAGAAACATCAGTAATACCAATGATGATGATAATAAAATAATGTCTTCTATTTAACAATGTGTTTCAAACAGAAATTCCCTTCTTTTTCTAAACATGCCACAAACATACAGACATGTTTTGGTCTTTAGGGAAGTAGAATTAGAGGAGCTTAAAGCAAGCTAGCAAATTTGGCATCAAAATTTGTCAGCCTCAGGTGTAAACTGTATTTGTTCAATAGAAACAGCTGATGAATAGTCGAAAGAGACTGCGTTTTTACATTTTCCACCACAGAAAGGTGGCTGAGCTGCACAGAATCTCACACAGCTCTTTGGAAAAGCAAGCAGCATTTGCCAACCAACCAAGGTTATTGTCCCCCAAAGTGTCAGGAGGAGGGAGGTAGATTCTCGCCCTGTCTTGTCAGATAAAGGGCTGATGCACCATGGAGGATGTGTGGCAATATCCTGTACAACCAACTTGCTGCCTCCTTGCTTGTTTTTATGAAGGTGGAGTTGGTGGGTGTGGGACAGGGGATGGGAATATCTGGCAGCCCATATCTCTGTGTGCATGGGGGGCACTGTATAGCTTTACCTTTCTGTTTGTCATTGACTCTGCTCTTTCTTTGTCTTCTTCTTGCTGGAATCTCTCTCTAGGAGTTTCATGGGGTAATATGTTATTCCTGTCTCTTGCTGCACTGTTATGCCTGTCAACCGTGTGTACACACACTTGCCACTGTGGAAACGAACCATGTTACACCCATTGCATCGACTCCTTTGTGCCTTTATTACTCATTATTCAGTGAAATGTATTTCCCCTTAACAAACCACATTCATCCTAATTTTCCTGAAGCAGAGGATAGAAGCAGACTAGAAAGCAAATTAGACCAGAGAGTCAGAAACCATGATAAGCAGTTATATTGTACAGAAAAGATTTGAGGGGATGGCTTAGTGGTTGCATTGTTAATATGGGAGCTTGCAATTCAGGAAAATCCTAATAATGAGGTTGAAAGAAGCAATTTTATTCTTAGAAGTCTCCATCTCTAAACTGCATTAACAGTGCTAGAAGCTTCAGGACTAATTTTGTGCAATCTGGGCAGTGTGACTCAGCTGGGATTCAGGCTGTCATCCTCTGACATTGGTGAATAATCTTTGACGTGAAAACAGAGCGTAGAGAGCTTTTTGAGAGGTTGGCAGGGGCAATTTGTAAAGGGGGAGGTAACAAAAGTTGCGTTTAACCATCTGAAAGGAGGTGGAAGTGGTGGTGTTGGTGCAGTACAGCACAGATTTGCTTTGGGGATTGAAGAGGAGGAGGAGCTGCATCTTCTCATGCTGTGGTTCCAAGCAGGGCAGGAGCTGGGTTGGCTCCTCTGTAACAGATAAGGCAGAGATGGGCATGAGGATGTGGACCAGGAAACCAGGCACTTGTTTCTTTATTCCATCTAGGAAACCAGATCATTTAGACCCTGGAAGAGGGTGGCTTTGTGCTTGGGCAGAGTTGTGTGACCTCATTTAGTCTTTGGTGGAAGAAGTTAAGGCTGAGAGTTGGGATTGTTCAGCCTGGAGAACTCTGGGGAGACCTTATTGTGGCCTCTCAGCACTTAAAAGGGGCTTATAAGAAAGATGGGGAGAGGCTTTTTACCAGAGCCTGTTGCAATAGGACAAGGGGTGATGGTTTTAACTAAAACAGGTTGCCCGGAAAGGTGGTGGATGCTCCATCCCTGGAGACATTCAAGGCCAGGCTGGATGTGGTTCTGAGCAACCTGATCTAGTTGAAGATGTCTCTGCTCATTGCAGGGGGTTGGAATAGATGAGCTTTGAAGGTTTCTTCCAACCCAAACCATTCTATGAATTCATGTTCTGCCCTGGGGATCCCAGGCAATTGCACAAGGTTGTGACTACACCTGACTGAATATTTGATGGCATGAGTCTGTGACACCCATGTCACATGAAATCAGAGGTGCTGACAGGAGCAACAGAAACAAGAAGCTTCCATTTTAAAGAGCTATTAATTTTTGAAAGGATCTTTTATTTATTAAAGGAAAAAAAAAGGGCTGTGTCAAGCTCTTTTAAAATATTTTTAATGTTTTAAATAGCAGCAAATTGCCCCCTCCAAAACCAGAACAGGCCTAATGCAATTTATTTCCTGTGGTGTTCTCTTGTTTTAAGCCACTGGGTTCCTCTTTGCTGTCTTTATCTCTTCTGAGGCTCTTCTGAATTTTGCAGTTATTATTCTGCAGTCATCTAAGATCTTGTTCCTTTCAGAGCAACGTATTTTGTTGTGAGGAATATTCTGGTTAAAGGTGTGCTTGAATACACCCTTTGACTGAATCCTAGCTCCATCTGGACCTTTTATTTTGTGGGACATCTGGCTTTGTCTCAGAGTGGTGTATAAATCAGTACTGGTAGAAGGGTTCTTAAAAACACTGAAAACAACCCTTAAGGTTTTATTTGATAGGTTCGAGTAGCTGCAGAAGATCCATTTAATTAAAATGCAATTTGCATCACTACAGTTCAGAGTGCCAGTCCTATGAAAGAAACCTCACTGTTAGGTTCTGCTATAGAGGAATCTCGCTGTGGCAAGAAATCAGAATGATTTCTCAGGATCAACATGTGACTGAGATCATAAATCCTGTTAACATTTAACTGGTTGTGTTCTTTATTTGCTTAGGTGCCTGAAAGGGGGAAAAAAAACAATAAATCAACCCTTCCTCATGACCTTCATTCGGGCAGAAGGAATTTAGTAAAACAGGAGCTGTCTGCTGTTTACCTCCAGACTCAGTGCAGTCACCCGCATGCATCCCCTTGTGAAGGAAAAACAGCTTCTCTCATAGACCCAGGAGGGAGGATTTGCTCTGTCCTGCTCTGTCCCACCTCTATATTAGTCCCCAGTGGGTCTGTTTATCCTTCCTAGATGTATTAAGCCCACAGAGGTTGTTGCTTCAGGCTTGGAGCCAAGCCTGTGAGACTTGAGCTTGCTCCTTCAGAGCCAAGAAGTGTCTCTGTTCTTGTCTTGAACTTCCTTTCCAGGAGGCCTTACTAGTACAGTTGTTATTTAGCACAGATGCATGTCAGAATAGAAGATAGGTGTTTAGGTTTCCTGGAATCAGGAGCACTGGAAGACAACATGCAAAATATTCTGTGGTTCTGTTTGAACCCAGGTGATGACTCTTGAGGTTTACTAGTTCACTTGCTACCTGCCAGTGCTGTGCTGCTAAGCTGGGGCTCTGTGTGTTAACCTGCAAACCAGAAACATGGCCACAAATGATCAAGAATTGAATACAGCTCTGGGCCAATGTATCCCACCTCTTTTTTTTTTCTCCTGCTGCCCCAACCACATGTCCCTTAACCCTTCACTCTCCTCTCACCACTACTTCTCTTAGTTCCCACCTCTTCACTCTCTCTCCCCTGGCTTCCTCATGTAGTTGAACTCCAAATGGCTGGGGAGCATGGAGAAACCCAAGAAATTTCCTTGGCCTTCCAGAGAGTGAAGGGACCAGGAGGGGCAGCCAGACTGATGGACATGTGCTGGGTGACCATCAGCCGTGGGCACAGGCTGGCTGGCCGTGCTAGGTGGTATCTCCTTCCTGGTTACCTATTTCCCCTTCTCCTTCCCTCCTGCCACCAAATGTCCTTCTCAAGAGGCTGAACAGATGGTTTTGCAGCCAGGGTATTGCTGAGGATCTGACACAGCTGCCTGAGGAGTAGGTGAGCTCCAGTTTGGGCAGCTCAGCTGGAGGCTATGGTGACAAGGAGGTGGCTGCAGTGCCCATGCAGAATCACTGCTTGCTAGGAGCTGCTTGAAAGCAAGTTGACAAAGCCAAACATGGGCCAGATCTTCATTTGTGCTGAAACCTGAAGAGGAAGCCAGGAAAAGCTGTGTTTGCAGTGTCTGCTGCATCTCAGTCAGATTAAAATGTTTGTCATAAGAATGAAAAATGATTTCTTTTAAATATATAATAGGTACTTTGTGGCATAAAATCAGTCCTGTAACTCCATGAGTATCAGCTCAATCACCTGGATTTACAGCTGTGCCAGAAGTCAGGCATGACTGAAATGGTTCTAAAGCAGCCCTGAAAGGTGAGACAGCGAGAGGAGAGGTAAATCTCCATCCTGTTTCCCCTACCCTCTATTCCTATTAAATCACGTGCAAAGGCAGCTTGTGTTCCGTATATAAGTCATGGGGATGCAGCCCATGGCCCTCCAAAAATTCCTTGTGTTTCACTGCTTATTGCATTTCAGGTCAAGTGCAGTGACTGGCAATTGGAGAAAGAGACCAGGTTGGAGGCAAGAATGTGTGTTTCTAAGTTGCAGGTTCAGATCCAGGGCAAGTTTTGAGTAGCACAGTATTAGCACTGAGTTATTAGTCTTTTAGTAGTAGATAGACTGCAAAAGGGCCCCTTCCAGGGCTGAGAAAGGTCAGCCAGCCATAGAAATAGATGGTTTCTTCCACTCTTGGTGCTCATCCCTTAGCATCATGCACAGGGCTGGGTGCTAGCAGGGTGGGGGAAGCTTTGTGGTCCACTACCTGGTGCATCTCCTGTGGGTATCTTGGGTTACTTGCATTTCTACTGCTTTGCTGCTGGAGAAGAGGAATGTTTAGAAAATTGGAAGAGCATAGAATAGGGATATCAGCATCTATTCCACGTGTTACTCATTCACACCTGTGTTACCTCAATACAGTCTCAGACCCAAACCTCTAGTCATGATTAAAACTCTGTTAAAGATTTTCATCCCATTTTTCACTCCATAAGAAATGAAGGGGAATGTCATTGTTTTGCTGTTGGGTTGGAAGGAGATATAACCGTGTCTTTTTTATTTTACCTTGGAAGTGCATGAGGAAAGGAACTCTGTCCTTCCCCTTAAAACCTCTTACTGGTTAACAGCAGGAATGGTCTCAAGTCTTGCACTCATGTTTAACAAAACCTAAAACCAAAATGTGACTTACAGCACCTGCATGTGTAAGTGGGAAGTTCCCTAGCACTGTTCCAGGCATGTAATATTGCTGTCATATTACATGTTCCCGCATGGGTTTGGTAGCATGTCTTCTAAGAGAGACTCGAGTATGAGCATGGGGCAGCTCTGGTCCCCAGGAGAGCTCTGTCCCTCACCATGAAGTCTCCACTTCCCTCTGGTCTCTGCTTGTCTAGACACAGCGTCCCCAGAAGGACACAGAGGAACACCCTCCTGCCTCACCCAGGTGCCTGGGAGGCAGGAGAGCCAAGTGTGACTTTCCCCCTTCTCCTGCCTGGGGCTGGGATGGATGCACTGAGCCTCTTCTCCTGGTGGCTGCAGCCAAGGGTTGCTGCTGCCCTGGCTCTGCCCATTGACTGGGTGGGAATTTGGGGCAGGAAGGTGACCACTCCTGGGTGATGTTCGGTGAGTAGCTGGGAAGAGAGTGAAAGATGGAGAGCACGTACGGCTGAATGCCGCAGGGACCATGTCCAGCCCACAGCCTTCCGCCTGTGAAGTGATGAACACACCTCAAGTGGGCGTTCATCTGCAGTCCTCACTAGGACAGTCTGCATTTGTGGTGGGGACAGCAACCAACACCTGCAAAACCCCCCCAAACCAAATCAATTCCACAACCAAAACCACACTGGGAACCTATAGATGCTGTAGCTAATGACCTGAGGACCAAACTATTCCCTCTGTTGTTCTTGTGCCTTTTATCCCTTGCAGAGGAACCAAAGGCAAGGACATCAACACGATCAAGTCACTGCGAGTTCTGCGAGTCCTAAGACCACTGAAGACCATTAAACGGCTGCCAAAACTAAAGGTTAGAGAATAACCACAAATCTTTCCTTCTCTGGAGGTTTAAAACCGAGCTGAGCGGAAGCTGATGGACTAAACTTATTCCAAGTTATTTCTGTTCCTTTTATTTCATTGCAATTAATCTCTTTGCCAGATTTATAAAAATAACCATGCAGATGTTTAGCAAATGTCAAACACTTGTTTCTTTTGCAAACACTGTGTGCAATGTTATGAATTATTGTGAACCCACATTAAAATCAAACATCTAAAAAAGGAAAAAGGAAAAAAAGCAAATAAATTAAATTACAGTTTGTGAGTGTGATGCTAGAAATGATACAGGAGAAAATGGATTTTGGAGTGTTTGGCTTTCCCTAGAGAACTTCACATTAACATTGCAAGATATTCCACAGTCCATCTAAAGAGAAGTGTCATTGCTGTATGAGGACTTAACTCTGTTCATCTTTTCTGTTAAAGGATATATAACACAGGGTTTTGCAGCAGTACCCTTTCATCTCTAGGATACTGTGTTATACAGTAAGATTAAAGTAATGGTTACTTATTCAACACCATTTCACAAACGCTTTGAGGTACAGCCAGCCCCTGGAAGCAGAGAATGGAAGGAGCTGCAAGATTCAATTCAATTTCTGCAACTCTTGAATACCTACCAGAGAACATCTTCATGCGGCATCACTGCTTGCATGCTCTTTTCTGTGAGAGACAAGGGAAAAAGCAGTGGGTGCATTTGCAAAGGTGAAGCTATGTCTGACAAATCCTGGTGCTGCATAGTGGCACATAAAAATCAGGATCAGCTGATTCTATAGATTTACTTTTGTCCTTACCCAAAATTCACATTTAAATAATTCTGATTTTATGTGGTTTTATGCATACTATATTTACCTCAATAGATAAGGAAGAGTAATGCTGAACAGTGGTCTTTACCTGTTTAGAAGTTTGAAATGTACAGCTTTTAGGTCATAAACCAGTGAACAGTAGCTCAGGGTGCTGAATGTTTTTTATTGAACTTCTTCCTTATTTTCAAGCCATTTTACAGAGTAATAGTACCACTTCTAGAGAAGCATTCAAAACTCTATGTGAAGCAGAAGTCATATTTATAAGGTTTGTGAACTGAACCGTGTTCAGTTCTGGGCCCTTCACTCCAAGAGAGACACTGAGGTGCTGGAGCGGGGCCGGAGAAGGGCAGCGGAGCTGGTGAAAGGCCTGGAGCACAAGTGTGATGGGGAACGGCTGAGGGACCTTGGGGGGGTTCAGTCTGGAGAAGAGAAGACTCGGGGGGGACCTGATTGCTGCCTACAAGTGCCTGAGAGGAGGATGGAGCCAGGAGGGGCTGGGCTCTGCTCCCAAGGAACAAGGGATGGGACAAGAGGAAACGGCCTCAAGCTGCCCCAGGGCAGGTTTAGATGGAGCTGAGGAACAATTCCTGCCCCAGAGGGTGCTCAGGCATTGGAACAGGCTGCCCAGGGCAGGGCTGCAGTCACCGTCCCTGCAAGTGTTCACACAGCGTGGAGACGAGGCCTCAGTGCCATGGGTTAATGGTGGCCTTGGCAGTGCTGGGAACGGTTGGACTGGATGAGCTTAAAGGGCTTTTCCAACCTAGACATTTCTATGACTAAAAGTTTTCACAGCTCTGTAATTCATTTTTTTCCTGAACACGGTCTTGTGTGCAATAATCAAGAAGATTCATGGGGAGATTTAGAGATATTTCCAGTGTTTTAAATCAGGATTTTTGGGTTGCATCAGGAATGCAATTCTGTGAATTATTCACTTCTATTCAGAGAGACAGGAGCAGTATTGTACAAACCCCATGCTCGGGCAGTAGAACTGCTCCGTTTCTATTATTATGGCAAACATCTCAGACTAAAATTAAACTGCAAATGACTGTGAATCAGTGACAAATAACCACAGCATAAAGGTATTTGAGAAGTTCTTTGCAGGGCGTTCAGAAGTGACTTATGCTGACTGCATTAGTCACTTTGTTTTGAAAGACAGTTCATAAGAGAAATATTATTCGAAGGATTTGGTTTGTATCTGGTATATTGTCCTTATTATTCAACTGTTCAAATAGCGGTCAACAAGTAACATCTTTGATCAGGTTTAATGCGTTTGGTAACTGGGAGTAAATTAAACTGAAGTGTGGTTTATATTTCATAACAGACTGATTCTATGACTTCCATGGCCTAGTTTTGGTTGGAAGGGACCTTAAAGCTCCTCCATCTCCAACCCCTGCCACAGGCAGGGACACCTTCCACTGGAGCAGCTTGCTCCAAGCCCCTGTGTCCAACCTGGCCTTGAACACTGCCAGGGATGGGGCACTTTTGCTTAAGACTAATGCAACTCAATGAGCTGCGATTGTCTTTAAGCTTTATGGGCAGCACCAGGCAATTGAGTGGCACAGTCAAACTCACGCAGAAAGCAGGAGATGTAGGAAGCTTGTGGTGTTATTTCTCACAGCTGGAGAATGACTCTTGGTCAAACACTTGGTGTGCAAGTCCATAAAGACACCCATGGGTTGTAGATTGGGTCATTACCCGTGGGTGCAATTAGATGCCAGATGCCCAGGTATTAGATGCACTTTTCCTTCTTTTCAACCCCTTAACCTTGTTCTCCTCCATCCCCAGGCTGTCTTTGACTGCGTGGTGAATTCCCTGAAGAATGTCCTCAATATCCTCATCGTTTACATGCTCTTCATGTTCATTTTTGCTGTCATTGCTGTGCAGCTCTTCAAAGGCAGGTTCTTCTACTGCACTGATGAGTCAAAGGAGCTGGAGAAGGACTGCAGGTATGGCTGGGGGCATGGTCTGCAGGGGGTATCCCCATTTTGCTTTGGCAGCAGCAGCTCCCTGACTGCCCCAAAGCTTCAGCTGCGTATCTGCTGAGCTTGATGAGTCTCCTGTAAGTAAGAGCAATGCTTCAGCACAATTACCCTAGGGGTGAATTCTTCTTTTTGTTGTTTTAACAGCTGCATCATTCTTGGCTCTGATCTAGCAGATGCTTAATGATGCAGGGGAGCAGGATGCTTCCCCAGTGAGGGCTAGGTGTGATTTTAAGCTAAGGAGTTTTTGAAGGGGTGGAGTGACTCCTTTCTACCTGCTGCCTTGATTCTTTGGGCTCATATGAATTAGAAAAGCAGAATGAATAAATAATCAGAAGTGAGTTGGTAGGAAGTTAGAGCTCTTAATTAGCTGGAAAAGGAGGCAGTGCTTGAATATCTTAAAAGCCCTGTCCTGTTTTGTCCTTTGCAGCAGACTGTCACAGTGTATTACCACAACATGCTTCTTTCTCACTTGCTTTTTTAAATGGCGCCCAAACCACATCCTCAGCACTGCCCATGTCTGCCTTCGTTACCCCTCCTCTGCTGCCTGACAAGTGCAGGACACATCCCTAGTGGGACCACATCCATGTATGCAATAGCTGTGGAGACTGTTGCTGCAGCTCTGGCTTGCAATATGGCATATGAATACATTACAGAAAGGAATGTGAAATTACAGAGAGAAATGTGAAATTACTGAAGAATGTATGTTGTAGGCTGGAGGGGAACTCTGCAGATGCCAGGATCCTTAGACCATAAGGACAGATCCAATCCAGAATAGGAACCAGAGATGTTTCCCTAGCGAGCAGCACATTTTTCTGTGGGTCAGACAATTTGTTGTCAGCATGCTCTTAATTGCTGGCTTTGCCTAATGAATAAATGCCCTGATTACTATTTCATTCATAGTCCAGTTCCTGTGGCTCAAAATGCCTTGAACATGCCCTTTACTTCTGTTACAAACCTAGGGGCTGTCTTTTTATTTGTCTTTAATACATAGCACAGTCGGACTCTGATCCTGGGGCTTTTCCATGATGCTCTGTGAGTCAGATGAAGAGGCTGATTTGGTTTAATTCGCTCAGTCTGAATTGCTGCTTTTTCCTAGGGGTCAGTACCTCGATTATGAAAAAAATGAGGTGGAGGCACAGCCCAGGGAATGGAAAAAATACGAGTTCCACTATGACAACGTGCTCTGGGCTCTGCTCACGCTCTTCACTGTCTCCACAGGAGAAGGGTGGCCAACGTGAGTACACATGGCTCCAGAGTCAGTGATCATGGAGGTAATGGTATCTTTCCACAGCTCTGAGGGACATGTAAGCAGCAGTGACCTGTGTGATAAGAAGTCTTTTCCCAGCTAAGCTTTTATTTCCCCTTGCGTGATTACTGGGTGAATCAGCAGCAGGGCTCTGTGCTTTCCTTGCCATTCCTCTGAGCTTGCACAAGGATGCATAAGTGGTATTCAGTACTTAGTAGCTTGCTTGCTCCAGTGTTTTGGACTTGCACGCTTTCCTCAAGTGTACCAACTGATAATGGAAATGTAAGAAAAAGAGGGGGAAAAAGTATTGTGACCTATGCTGAAAGTATGCTGGGTATGACAGTCCCAACGTTACATTTACTGTTCAGCATATGACTTTATTTTGGCACACTTTTCTGCTGTGATACATAGAGTACAGATCATGGTCAGGGTTTCCATGGCAGGACTTTCCTGTCCTTCGTGTTCAACTGTTTCATAAGATAAAGAATAAAGCACACAGCACCAGTCTTCCTTTTCCAGTCCCTCAGTGTGTTCCCTACTCGGAGATCATCACTGCATTTCTTTTCCCACCCTTACTTTTCATCCCTGTTGATCTGAAAAGAGAAGCCAGATCTAACTGTATCTTCTCCCCTTGGCCATGGGGATAAATGGATCTGTACATAGCAAATCTCCATCATTCTGATAGAATGTTGAAAACAGAAAGGGTTTCCCTAAAAATATCCTCAAGGACAACTTCTTCCCAGCCATAACAATGGGAATGAGTTTGACCTGAGAATATGGAGAATACCCTTTGCACAACTGAAGGCCAGTGAGTGGCTATCAGGGTGTCATTGGTGCTTCACACTGATTCCATTGACTTTTCTTCTCTCTTTGCGCTTGATTGCAGTGTGCTGAAGCACTCGGTGGATGCCACCTACGAGGAACAGGGCCCCAGCCCTGGCTACCGAATGGAAATGTCTATCTTTTACGTGGTGTATTTTGTTGTCTTCCCTTTTTTCTTTGTGAACATCTTTGTGGCGTTAATCATCATCACCTTCCAAGAGCAAGGAGATAAAGTGATGTCAGAGTGCAGCCTTGAGAAAAACGAGGTACCCGTGTCTTCTGAATCTGGGGGCTCACAGCACCTCGATCCTAGTGCAAACCCACTCCTCATCCCTCCCATGCCTTAAGGGGCTTTAGAGCAGTCGTTATCTGAGGGTGTGTGGTATACAGACCAAATACAGACTGTTTCAGCTTCTGCACAAAACCAAGGAGAGTCCCCAGTGCCTCACATCAGCAAGCACTGTCACACGTCCCTATGAACCACACCTCTGCTTCACAGTGAAGGTAGACTTGCACATTAGCCCAAGTATGTAGGTGTGAAAGGAAATAAATCTTTGGCCTTTTAGAAGCCAGTCATCAGAAATCAAACCGAACTATGGTTGCTACAACTCCTAAAGGAAAGCTCCTCTCACCAGGCTCACCAGTGCCTGGCTGACATGATGTCCTAAGAGCAGCCAAAAGCAGGTGCCTTGAGAAGACTGTAAGACCAGGGCAAGCGCATACAAGGCTCAGGAGCATCCCGAGTTGGACATGGATTTCTTTAGTGTATCTTTCTTTTATGGATGTACCCAGTTTCCTCCTGAACCCACGCAGATGTTTAGCATCTGCAACATCCTTGTCTGGGGTCCCGCAGCTTCAATGACCTGTTGTACAAAAACCCATCTCTTTTCATTCATTTTGAAACTGGTACCTGACTGTTGATGAAAAGAGATGACTTATTAATCAGTTGTTATTTAGTGCATTGTTTGTCTATACGTCCAAAATAAAGCAAAACATTTAGAGGATTTTTTACCCATGTTATTCTTAAACTGAGTAGAAAGTATTTTTGCAGTAACTTATGAATTATTACCTAATCCAAGCTGAGAAAATACTCCAGAATTAAAAGTTCTTGTGGGCAGAAATCAGTTTTTAACTAGTCTTATGCTTATAATCATGTGAACAGAAATAGGCAACTAAGGGGGATCTTTGAGAGTTCACAGTGATATTTGTTGGATGATTTGCTGGTAGAGTTCAGTTCACATTCAATGAAACATTATTAACTGCAGAGGTTTTGCTGTGTGTGAGAACATACCTGAGTTTCCCAGTAGTTTTAAGCACAAATAACATCTTTACCAACCCTCTGCTTTCTACAATTACACATCAGGAGGAACTGGAAGTGTTTTTTGAAGTGAGCCTGTGCATCTAAAACTCCTTTCTCTAAGTAGGACCTACCAGGAGCTGGGTTGTGATGGAAAACTGCCTCCTAGGATTGCAGAGGACCATAGGGGTGTTTGGGGGTTTAATATTTTAGCAAATGGCCAAAAGTTATCACTATCTGAGCATCTTGGGCTGCATTTTACGGTAGTCATCAGTACTCACATCATGCGTGAGAAATGCTTAGAAATACCATCCTCCACTAAATGCTCTGCTCAATCTCCCAGTCTGGTTATCTCGACTGATGGAGGCTGCCAGCCCTTTTCTGTATTCTTTTCATCCCCTTTTTGTTTTGTAGAGGGCCTGCATAGACTTCGCCATAAGTGCCAAGCCACTGACCCGCTACATGCCTCAGAACAAGCAATCTTTTCAGTACAAGATGTGGAAATTTGTGGTGTCCCCTCCCTTTGAGTATTTTATCATGGTCATGATTGCACTCAATACCATTGTCCTCATGATGAAGGTTAGTGGGCTCTTACTGTATCTCTGGAATTCTGGGTGAGTGAATGTGGTGCTTGCGGGAGAGGCTTTGTACTCTTGATCTAAGAGCTGGGGGGTGATCAGCAGGAACAACTACCCCTTCTCATTTGCCTGGTGCCGTTTTCAGATGCCTTGTGGTCATGTGCCTCGGTCCCCAAAGGGAGGTGGTTTAGTTGTGATGAGATATTAAGAATGGGATTTTGCCACTCACCACTGTTTTGGCTCATAGCCCCTTCAGTATGTGGCCAGTGGGATGGGAACTGAGATCTGCTGGTCCTGAGCTCCCAGCTCAACCTGGGCTTCCTGCTGCAGAGCAGGGCCACTTGAGGATGCTCAGAATCCAGCCATGCCAGGGAAATGACTACCATTTGCAGCAGTGTGAGGCTTCTCGGATATGATCCACGGTGCTTACGAGGAAGAGATGCAGGTGGCTGGATATTGTGGATGATCTCCCCTCCTACCTCTTGTCTAGCTTCACAGTCAAGGGGTCACCATATTCTCAGAGTCTTCTGGAACACAACAGAGCTCTGAACTTGTCCTCTGGTTTTGAAAATGCCCTTTATCACCCTGCTCCCTGTTGTGCTCTACAGGGAGATGTATGCCAGCAACAGTCCTCCAGTCCTGGGGCTCTCTCCAGCTGCCCCATTAGGATAGCATGGAGGCAACAGTATGCTTCTGGAGTGGCATAAGTAACTGTGTTGTATCCCCAAGTCTTGCTTAAAGTGAGCACAAGATCTGGCACTAAAATGAGCAGGAGTCTTGCAGTCAGACAGGTCAGCAGGGAAGCTTTTATTCTGTGATCCTCCAGTAACAGCCTTTCTTCCGTCCTGGTTTAGTTCTATGATGCTCCAGAAGCATACGAAGAAATGTTGAAATGCCTGAATATTGTGTTTACATCCATGTTTTCAATGGAATGTGTGCTGAAGATCATTGCCTTTGGTGTGCTGGTATGTGCCTTCCTCGTTTACTTTCAACTGATTCCTCTCTACGTGAAATGCTTGTATTTCATGATGTGTATTTAACACAAAGAGAAAAATAACCCCTGGATCCCCTCTATCCCCTTTGTGTTTTCATTTGACAGAATTATTTCCGGGATGCCTGGAATGTCTTTGATTTTGTAACAGTGCTGGGAAGTATTACTGATATTTTAGTAACAGAGATTGCGGTAAGTACACTTTGCTCAATTTGCTTCATTTTCAAACCAAGCTGTACCCTGTCAAGACATTGCACCTTCTCCCTACCAGCCTTATTCCCTAGAGCTGCCTCTGGGACTCAAGATGTCCTTGGCTGGCCTGGCAGCTGGGTTCCATTAGCTCTACTCTTTCCATGGAGATGAGCACAGCCCCAGAGACTCTCATGCAAAAAGCTCTGATGAGCACGACAGTGCTAGTGACCCTGCCAGAAAGCAACCTTTCTTTCTTGTTTAGCAAATGACTCTAACCCTGAGCCTTTTTTGCCTATTAATGGAAAAATCCTGTTGAATTTAATAGAGGGAAGAGATCAAAATGATTCTGTTGAAGACTGCTGGTTTATAGCGTGAGGTGCTTTGTGGGGCACACAGGCACGTCTGTCCCCTTGGGGCTCCTACCCAATCTTGGTCACGAGGCCGAATGAAGGCGAGAAGGGGAGGGTGACAGGAACATAGAAACAGGCAGAAACTCATCAGCCTGGATTGTGCGTTTGGTGCATTTCTGTTCTGTGCACAAAAGCTTTGTGAGGCGATGATTCAAACAACTTCACCAGAGGGTTTGTTGGCCAGCCCTGCTGTCGCCCTGCTAATGTGACCTGTAGATGACAGGAGCTGTACAAACTAGACATTAAATTCAAGAGGATTTTTCCATGCTGGCAGCAAATGTCTCACTCAAGCCTTGACAACCTGGTACTACCCATTCTATGAATTGCTCCTCTCCTCTCCCAGTGCATGTTTTAGCTGAGGATGCTGTATCTCTATGTGATGAATTTGAACTTTACCGTAATGTTTTTTTTTCTCAGTCCCTGGGATTTGCTTATTGATCTGTTTTGTGTGTGCTGAGAACTATGCTCCCAGACTTCTTTACAGGACATTCAGCTGGTGGTGAAGACCACGTTACTGATTCTAACAAAATGCACTATAATCTAACTTCTTTGGTAAAAAAAAAAAGCATGAAAAACCCCAGTTTTACTCCCCACACGAAAGGTTCTCATTTAATGGTTGGTGAATCCTATTGTGTAGGTTTTGGATTACCTTTTGCTCTCAATGCACAGCTTACAGCCAGGGTAAAGTGACTCAGATCAAACACAAGGTTTAACTACCACTTCTTTGAGTGCTTAGAATCCTTGCATTGATGCTTTTTCCCACTCCCTTTCATGGGACACACTTGCTTGCCAGTCTCAGGTCCCCAAACTTTTGCCTTGGTTTGAAACTCAGTGAAAACCTTTGCAAGTCAGCTACAAACAGAGACTGATGCTTCTCTTCCACCCCTCCTTTGACTGGGAAGAAGCATCACAACCAACTCACACGTGGTAAGGGAGCCTGTGGTCTCTCAGAGATTGGTATCTTCTTTGGGAAGATGTCTCCTTCATAACACCAAGCCCACATGCTTCTTGTTAAAATCCTGCTTTGTACAGCTACTCAGCAGGCAGAGAGCAGGATCAGTGTTGCCTGTTCTCTGCTTGGCAGTAATGTCTCTGGTTTCCAACATCAAAGGCAGCAGCAATTTGGGGATGCCTTTGAAGAGTAGTATGAATTACCTCTAAAACCAGTCAGTAAACTCCAGCAGTGTTAAGCTCCCAACCACCTATTCTCCTTTCCATTATCCTCCCAGGTAGTAATGGAGAGGCTTTTGGTTTTGGAATACTAGATCCGTTAAGTCAAACCTTTGAGAGAACTTTCTAATGTAGTTTAACAGCTTTCCCTGGCAGTCCGTACAATACAAAGCTGCTCACAAACATGTCTTAAACATAAAATCCATATGTCCCCCAGTACCACTCCAGCCCCTGACCTCTTGGTCCTCTGTCTCAGGCCATTGACGTCTCTAAATCTTCCCCTTCTTCAGCATTTCCATATAGCTATCACATATCCTTTCCACATGTTTCCCCTTGGAGCACATAGGGTGGAAAACCAGCAGAAGGGTCCAGCACTCTGCTCTGGTTCTGTTTTATTGGCTCCACAATAGGTTGTAGCACATGTTATTCTGACCCACAGTGCATCAGGGGAAACCCAAGAGGTCCCAAAGTTGCCTGGGAAAATCCAGGACTGTTTTATCACCTGGGAAGTGGTGCAATACATGGATATTCTGGAAGAGTTACACTTTAATCCATCTTTGTAATGTATAACTTGCTGCTTTGCTAAACTAGAGGTGCACCTAAGTCACTTACATACTTCTGGTATTTAGAACCAATTAAAAAAGGCAGAAAGGGGCTGGATAATCTGATGCAATGACAGTGAATAAACTGTTTGCAAACAGCAGGGACCAAGGCAGGACCAAGCCCGTGAGGGCCTCAGTCACAAAGCACAGATCACTTGTGTGGCCTCAAGTCTTCAATCCCATAGCCTCTGCTCAAACTCTCTTTGCCCATTAGATTTCCAGGTAGAGTAGAGGAGTACCCAGGATGAGGATTGACTCTGCACAAAACACAGTAGCTAATGTTGAACCCCACTTCATCAGCTTCCTGTCTCAGTCCATGATCAGGGGTGCAGCAGCTGTATGAGCTCTACAGAGCTGAGAATAAACAAAGTGGAGAACAGGTCTTTGCTTGCAACAGCTCAGAGCTCTGTCCACAGCAGAGGATGCCCTCTTCTCCCTTTGCCTCCCTCAGCTCCAACCTCTCTTTGGCTGGCAAGCAACCATGGGGATAGCTGGGTGGCAGCTTCCTTCCCTGAGCATTCAGCCCCATTGTTCCCCCTCCACTCAGGCTGAGAAGTGGGGGTCACCCGCTCAGGTGACCCCCACAATGTAAACTCGATGCTTCTGTGCCTGTAACATCCACCCATGAATCATAGAATCCCAGCCTGGTTTGGGTTGGAAAGGACCTTAAAATCATCTAATTCCAACCCCCTGCCATGGACACAGACACCTTCCACTAGAGCAGGTTGCTCCAAGCCCCGTCCAGCCTGGCCTTGAACACTGCCTGGGATGGGGCATTCACAGCTGTGGTTCCCTACAGAGAAGGGATGTTATCTGGGTGTAACTTTGAGATCAGGCTCACACGTAGTTACAGGAGTACCACTTTTCTCCATGACTCTATTTTCCAGCTATAAGGTAAATGAACCTGCTCACCTGGGCAGTCTCACCTCTGCTTCCACCAGCTGTGCTACATCGGTACTTTAACCCACTGAAAAGTAAAGATAAAAGGAAAAGACATGTTGATTAACTCTTTATTTTGATTTTCTAGTCATGTCATATGTAATTTACTTTGTGAATGCCGTGGAATATGTATATATATTTTTTTATTTCCTTAGGCAAAACCATGTATGTCAGTTTTTTACCCTCTCAGTAACTGAGGTATAACAGGAGGCACCAAGGAGGAGGTGTCCGAATGGGCATATAGCAAACTGACATCTATTTCTATGCCTGGAAATACAAAAACCATCCTGACAAGTGTTTGTGAATTGCCTCCCAATTTGCATTACAAAATGAAATGCAAATATCTACTGCACTCTCTGTGTTACCCTTTAGGATCCAGAACCTGTTTTGGTTTGAAGCATTTTTTGATTTATATAACTATCACAAAATAACACCCCCCTAAAAGTCCAACAGTTTCTTTTCCAGTGAAATTTTCAGAGTTTCCTTTTTTGCTTGTCCTGATTACTCATTTTCTCTTTTTGTTTCCTGTTTTGTTCTTTATTTTCCTTATCTACCTGCTGAATCACGCCATCCAATCAACATACAATGCGAAAACCATGTCTCCGTCTGTATGTTGTGCACCTGCTGCTCAAAAAAACCCAATAAATTTGTAAATAACCTTGCAAAATCCCCATCCATGACAACATCACATATAGGACACGGTTGGTTTCATTGAATTTAAACAATTCTTTAAATTCTCTGCTTTTATTTTCTCTCGTTTTTCTTTAATTTGACTCGTTTTTGATGAGATTTCCGATTGCACTGGTGAAAAAAAAGCCTCACTGCAGCGTGCCTCAAAACTGGCTTCTTTCCTGCATCTTCTTCCCCTTGGCTAATTGGTGACGTGAGGCAAACGCAGTTACCAATAGCCTGTTCTCTGCTCTTTGTTACACCTGGCAATGATAAAGGGGAGACTGACACTTGCTTTATTTTGGTGGAAAATTGAATGAGAATAGGAGGGAAGGATGCTGCTGGATGACCTGGAGTAGAGAAGATTGTCTGGCTGGAAAGCCCTACCTCTTGTGAGTGGTGGAACCAAATTCAGCTCTCGGAAACTGGTTTTCTTTCATGGTGAGAAGCACTGAGCTTTCTGCAAAGGGAAGCAGCACCTTTCAGAGGGCTGCCTTACAGGTACTTTAAGCCCATGGTTTACACTGTAAGGTAAGGCACAAAAATGATTGAAGTGGTTACAGACTTGCTTCTCTCAAACCAAAAGAGAGCTCATAGGAAAGAGGGACTGAAAACTCTTTGTGATACCAGCATATAGAAGCATTTTGCCACCACAGTGGACACAGAGTCCCTGGATGCAAAAACAAAGATCTGAAGTAAAATGCAGAAGCCCTGTTATGAACAGGGCTGAAAACCACTGGCAACCAGATCCCACTGGGAATTTAGTGCCTGGTTCTAAAGATCCCTTTGGCAATACTGGCCTTTGTCTTTGAAAATCATAAATTAAGCAAAATAGAATGAATAAAGAAAAATACAATCTAAAAAAAATACAGATAATTGTCTTGGCTATGGTTAATAACACAAATGAGACCATAAGCTTATCAAAACTACTTGCTTGGCCACCTGGCAACAGCTCTTGGATCCGTGTTAACCTCTGGTCTTCCTGTTGCACAGTTGCTGTTAAGAAGTAAAGCAGAGTGAATCTTTATGGCAGACTGCAAATATGCTCTATGTGTGCTTCCTGGAGGGTCACAGAAGGGAATTGTCTGCTAGGAAGTAGCATAGAAAAGGATGACAAAGGCCTAGCACAATCTGAGAATTGGAACCATTACAGATGTGTGGGAGCTTAGAGGATGTCTTTGGAGACTTCATCTTCTGCACCCCTGGTCCAGGCAGCACAGAGGAGTGCTCTGGCATCAGCTGCACACGGAAAAAGTACTGGAAAAAGTCAGCTTATTTCAGTTTGGCCAAGTTTTGGCCTTGTTGCTGTTAAAGATTTAAATGCTCATCCCAAGGTTTGTTAGGACTGCAGTCTTTCTGGTCATGTGTGCAGGTCCAGGCTCCCTCTATCACTCAGGATCCAAGATGGATCTTTGGAGCACCAGGTTGTCCTCTGGAGCTGCCTTCTTCCTTCCGCTGCTGATGATGGGAGCATACAGTGACTGCAGCAGAAGCACCAAAGTTTAAAGATAGGAGGGAATGAGGAGAGAGCTGGGCATCATACACAAAATCACTTCTGACTCAGGATGAAAGGACACTATACGATATGCTTATAACTGCAATGTCCCCAAGACACAGACCCGTGTGGCAAACATCTTCAGCCTTTTAAAATCAGCAAGGCTTTTCCCAAGCTTCAGAGGAAGCCAAGACCCTGTGCAAGATTCAGGATCTCCTCTTCAGTACTGACAAGAGACATTTAAACGAGAACACAACCATTTCCTCTAGAGTACTTCCTTAGCACAGTAAGTTAATTCTTGTTGATGCTGGATGAAGACAACTGCCAAAGCTTCCTGAGTGATCCCATTCTTGGCTTGGTTGGATTCCTCTTCCCACACCTCTTTGCGACTTTGGGTGAGCCTTTGATTTTGAGGACACAAAACTGAAGTTTCAAGCCCAAGGGGTGGCTGTGTTCTGCAACAGGGCTGGAGAAAAAAGCAGGGATGAGCAGCTCAAATTCTCCCAAATTCATTGCAGCATAATGGAACCTCCTTCTACATACTGCAGAGCTTGTCCAGCCATGGCACAAACCCCTCATATTCCTGCTGCAGGTTTCAAGATCCAAAATGTTACTGAGATGGTGCTTTGCCACTGGTGTACATCCCTTGGTCCTCATCCCTGCGGATGGTGGGCACAGCTCTAGCATTTGAGAGGAAACCACTCTTCTGCTGAAGAACAGATCTGGGCAATGGTTGTATATCCTAATCTTCATGTCTTCTCAGTATGGAAAACATCCTAAGACAGGGCAAAGGGGCTGTCTGCCCATGGTGGGACAACAGTCAAGGCCAGTTCTTTATCTGTTACATCCTGCTTTGCAGTTTGCTCCAGGAATGATATCTCTCAACGGAGCTTTGGTCATACTCTGGTCATGGGAAGCTGTGGCTGTGCCCATCACCCCAGAGTCTGGTGGGTGACTGTAGGCCTTTGGTACCAGAGCTCCCACTTTAAGGAAAATAGTGACAGGCCAGGAGGAGATTTGCCAGTCCTCAGGTGGATCATAAAACCATAAAGCTATAGTGCTTCTCATGAACACCAGCCAGCCTTTAGCATCTGTGCAACATCAAAGCAAACTAAAACCTGGAAAGCAACAGCTTGGTAACCCAGAGGATGGTCATCTGTGTGTAATGTGGTGGCTAAGTGGGAGAAGAATTGATGCAAATTGCTGTTATGTACAAGAAATATTGCAATGTGGAGTTTCCCCTTTAACTGCATGCGGTTCTAATACCTGCCTGGACAGCTGAGGTGTCGAAGGATGGGTTTTCTACCTGGTGTGCTGAGGGTTACACATGTGGAGCCCTTCCATCCATCATGAGCGTGTGTAACTTTGCCTCCCTACAAACAGTGCAGAGAACAGTCCTTCGATCAGTCTGCAGATGTTGGTGACAGGATTTTCCTGGGTTGTGAGTGATGCCCAGCAGAGCTGAGGCTCTGGTTGCACTTGAAGATATGGCACTGCATGAGTCAGGGAGGGTTTGGGGAAAGAAAGAAAAGGTTATGGGCTGTTTGACCCTCCAAATCCCGGGGAGTGGGTACTTACAGATGTAAGCGCAGAGTTTCAAGCCCCCTGTTCCATACTGTATATATGGACACCATTCTGTATAGCACCTCAAGTAACACAGGGATAGCCTGAGCTAAGTATGACCTTGCAGTCGGCCTAGACCAAAGCTGATGTTTAGCATCATGTCAGCTGTGATGATGGGATTATAGCAAAGCCTGAACAAAACAATATTCTTCCTGTTAAGCTGCAGTAAAACAAGGGAAAAGAGAGGTAAGGCAGGCTCATACACAGAGAGACAGATCCTGCACTTGCTGAGTGTGCACATGCTCCCTGGAGGCACTTTAGGTCTGGCTTGAGCGTTGCTCTGAAGGTAATTTGTCAGACTTGCAGTTATGATACCCAAGTGCCATGAACATTATATGTAAGGTCTGATCCAGTGGGGAGACCTTCCATCATTAAATGGGCTCTGGGTTAAATCTTTGCCCTGCACTGGTTGACTCTGCTCTGCAGAGGTCTATCAGCCAGTGCCACAGGGGAAACAGGCTTCTAAGGACCAAATTAGTGATGGCACCCGTTTATCCAGCCGTGGTCCAGCTCTGCCCCTGGGTCTTACATGTCCCTTACCTGTTAAGGTGGCATTTTGTGAAGGGATGTGAAAAATGAACCAGAAGCTGATGCTAAGAGACAAGTGTTGAAGTTCTAGTGCCTATTTTGCTGACCTTGAACAACCCAGGGGAATCCTCGCTTGTCTTTTGCCTGCCAGAGCTGAATTCTGTTGCTGACTTGAATGAGCTCAGTGTTGTCTGCTCTTTCATTGAACATACCTGTGCTTTTCTCTTTTCTCTTTATTTGAGGATTGAGTCTGATATACGGTCTGTGCCTAACTCTGAGCTGCTTGTGTTTTTAAAATGAGAGAAACGGAGTGCATGCCTGAGACTGATTTCTTGAACTCTGGGATTGGTGGAATGCGATGCTAATGCCCCCAAAACTGAGCTGGCATTTAAATAAATGAATAGATCCAACAAGCCCCCCCAAATTCAGCATGAGCTCTGTAGCCAAATGAGCAAGAAATGTGGGTCATTTCAGTATGACTGGGTATCTCCTGGTAAAGCAATAATAGAAGGGAAAGACTATTTTTGCTCATCTTTACCAACAGGAGCTCCTTACGATTATATTTTCCACTCCACTGCTCGATAGTTTAAAGTGGGATGCTTTCTCTTTAGCTTACTCAGTCAAATAAGTGGCTGTGAACAGAGATTCAGAAATAAGCAAATTGGAATTAGTACAGAAAGGGGGGATTTTTTTTTAATCTCCTTAAAATAGGAGGGCAAGAGGGATCTGGCTTTTGCATGTTTTGTTTTGGAAAGAACCCTCTCTAGATTAGCTCATTGGGGCAAGAAACCTCTTTTCCCTGAAGGAAAGGTAAAAATGGGGTGTGGGGTAGGGAGAAGCATACAAACCCAAAGGAAATGGGAATCTGTACCCAGCAGTTCTTTGATCCACCTGCAAAGGCACATTTAATATTAATCTAAAAACTCAGCAGGTTCCTAAGGCCCCGTCCTGCTGTTGAACCCTCAATCTGCCCAATTGATTTGCTGCCATTGATCCATCTTCCAAACAGTCTTGCTGGTGCCATTTCTCCTTGCTGAGCCTGTCCAGTCACATGTTGTATAAACCTTTAAAACCTCCAGGTTAGAAAACATCCTCATTTCTTCAAGGATGTTCTAATCTTCACTGGACGATGCCTTTCTTTGTTACGGTAGAGGTTATATGTGCAGTCCCTTGCAACTGTCTTGGCTTACGTTCAGTTCATTGTAGAAAGAGAACTGACCAAGACTTCAAAACAGCCTCACTCTGTATGAAATGATAATACGGCACCGTTGCCTCTCCCTGAATCTTTATGGGGAGAAAATCTGCCTTGCTCAAAGAAAATAAGCCCTCCATGGACAGCGTGAAAAGGCCTTTTCCTTTTCCATCATTGACCCAGTAGCAGAGGGGAGGGCTCTTGTGGAGAGGGATTTTCTCATACTTGCTGCATGTGGAGTGATCTGCACTGACGAATGTTTCTTTTGGAAGGTTTTCTGGTGGCCGATTTGCTGCTTAGATCGTGAAGCTGGTAATTTTAATTTCTTTTTTGCGGGCTGTGGTTTCCAATCGCGTTAATTTCTGAAGGACACAAACCCTTTACTTTCCGCAGGACAACTTCATCAACCTCAGCTTCCTGCGGCTCTTCAGGGCAGCCAGACTTATCAAGCTCCTCCGGCAGGGTTACACTATCCGCATCTTGCTCTGGACATTTGTGCAGTCGTTTAAGGTGGGTGTTATGCAGGTGGGAGGCAGGGAAGAGACAGGGGAAGATGGTGATGCTTGGCATGTCTGTAGCATCCTTCACTGGGTATCAAAGAGCTTCTCTTTGCCAAGGGACCCGCCTATCTGCACTTCTACAAAGGAATTAGAGGAATATTGCTAACCGATTTGTACTGACATCAGTACAAATCAGCTACAAATTGTAATCAGTACAAATTGAACATCCCCTGAATACCACAGGGAATGAGCAGTTTGGAAGCTGAGACTGAAAGGTGGATGGCTCCTGATGCAGACTTCCAAGTGTGCAAGCTTTGGCTGCCCTTGAAACTACAAAATCCCCATGGCAAAGTCTTGAGACTTGAGTATTTGCATAAGGAAATGATTGATAAGTGCCTTCATGCCTGCTGTTTGCTGCAGCAAGTGCAAGGTTAAATTGCTTTCACCAGGTTTCAGTCTTGGTAGAATCTCATAGAGGCAAACCCTAAGGCAGTGCATTTTGATGCTATAAACTGTGAAGCTGCATAGCACAGAGCTGTGTTTGTATGACTTGGAGGATTAAAAACTGAGGTTTTGTTCTGAAGTTGAGACTGTTGCTTTGCCAGGTTTGCTTTACCCCTGCCCTTCCCTCCTCAGAGTCTTGTGGCCGGCATTAACTTGTGGCACAGGGGTGTCTGCAGCTGGATATGGCGCTTCTGAACAAAGAGACCCTCATATGACTGCCTTACAGCAGCTTAGCTCTCAACCTCTGCCTAGATTTGTGTTAGCTGTTCTCCAGGTCTAAATAAGAGCCCACATGCCCAGAAGCTGGGTATTGAACAGCTCTCAGATCATTTGCAGCCCATTTCTACAGCTTGTGTTTTATCTCTGGCTATGGGGCATATGCAGCGCAGAGAGGACATCACTTAATCTGAAATGAAAACACTTCACTGCATTAATTACCCATTCATTTAGCCTGAGTGGGAAGGAGCTGTTACTCTCAGCTTGGTTACTGTCATCATTACATTGTAGCCTTCACTGATTTCTTGCTGAAACTCAGTCTTTTTGTTCTCCTGGGGTTGCAATCTGTGCCTGTTTCAGAGCAGGAACTTGTCTACTAAATTTACAGCAAGGCCATTAAAAATTAATGTTAATACAATTATACATAGAAAGTGTCAGTGCTTGCCAGTAGCTCCAGCACTTGCTGCGGAACTTCTTACTGTGCTTTCCCTCCTTACTGCTGATCTGCTTGCAGGGATGTATGGAGAGCCATTGGAAAGCCCAGACTGTTTTGTGATGGATGAATACCTGCCTCCTGGGGTTTGTCTTTTGAAGGCTACTAGAATTCATAGAATCACAGAATCCAGCCTGGTTTGTGTTGGAAGGGACCTTAAAGCTCCTCCAGCTCCAACCCCTGCCACGGGCAGGGACACCTTCCACTAGAGCAGCTTGCTCCAAGCCCCTGTGTCCAACCTGGCCTTGAACACTGCCAGGGATGGGGCAGCCACAGCTTCTCTGGGCACCCTGTGCCAGCGCCTCAGCACCCTCATAGTTCTCTTCCCAGTTCCTTCATCTGAAGGAAGAATGCCAGAAATCACAAGGAATTAAATGCTATCAGCTGATGTTTACTTCTGCTGTCATTAATGTTGCCTTCTCCTTTTCCACAGGCCTTGCCTTATGTGTGTCTCCTCATTGCAATGCTCTTCTTCATCTATGCCATCATTGGCATGCAGGTAAAAAGTTGAGCTTTTGTATTGACCATAATCAGCCTGGTTTTGTCCTGCTGGTTCAGGGTGCAAATGGGTTGTTGCCTCCACAGGAAGATCAACAACCGACTTAGGAAGAGGGAAAAGCTCCTCTTGTCTGGTGTCAGGTACATCAGAAATGGGGAAAAAAAAAGCCACATTTTCTATGTTTATTGCGAAGTTTTGTGTTGAACATGGCCCTGGGTGTACAAAGGGAGATGGCGAGCAGGCAAACCAGCCACAGGAGCCGCAGCACAGCATCTGCAAGGCATTGGTGGGCAGCCATGTCTCCCTTGGGCAGAACATGCCCCTTCTGAGAACAGGCACATTAAGAGGCTGAGAGCAGGGAGCAGCTCAGGCTCTGCACCTTCCTGACAGAAATGAGAAAGTTCTCTTGACCTGGGATGGAGCTGGTGTTGGAAAGGGTCTGTGTGAAGATGAAGCACACTAACCTTGGTTTTGTCCCTGTTTAGTCTCTACAACACATTTTTACCCCCCTCTTCAGCACAGAAACAATTTTAACTATTAGATCCTTTAAAAAGGACAAATTATTTCCCTGCCTTTTCCTCCTGCTCTATTAGATCCACCTTCATTGACAATATCCCTATGAGGACGTGTTTGGCCTGAATCACTTCTGTTTTCTGTGGCAGGTATTTGGGAACATTGCTCTAGATGATGAAACCTCCATTAATAGGCACAATAACTTCCGCACCTTCCTCCAAGCCCTGATGCTTCTGTTCAGGTAAGTAGAGGTTAAAATACCTTATGATTTGCACGTGAACAATAAGTAAGTCTTTGGTTTTGCATACATCAGTTTAGCTGCTGAGACTTAAGCACCCTCTAGTACAGGTACTTGGAGTAAAGCATCCCTTCCTCCTTCATCCTCCTTAGCATTTGATATGGAGAAAACTCCAGGAACAAACTTGCCAACAAGGTTTTCAAGCTGACAAGCAGGTATCCCTTATTGTGCTGCCGGGAGACACGGGGGATAGCTCCTCCTAACGCGTGTCTCCCCATTGCCACACAAGCCATCCTTTTATAGCCACTGGGCATGCATACATATTCATGAGGCTACGAATGGATTACATCATTTTCCAGAACGTTCCCCGCATGCGTACAGAATTGTGGTGGTCTCTGAAGGTCTTTACTTCTTCCAACGATCTTCATCACTTCTGGCAGCCTTTGAAGCACGCACAGTAGATGATCATACCAGTTTAATTGGTTCGTTAGCACCAGAGACATAATAATCCTCCTATCCTCCTACTTATCAGTTAGTTTAGCTGTAGCCCATCCTGGACACCTGCGGTTCCCAGATACTCCTTATCCTGTGTCCTGTTCTTCTAGACTGTTTCTCTTGAACTATGTCACAACTATAACAATTCATCTTGTGAGAATTCTCAGTATGTTCTCTAGCTGTACTCTATTTTTTCTCTATGTATCATGCACCTCAGTAATTTTCCATTGCTACTGTTACAAAGCCATCAAACTTAACATTACTTAAATCTAATTCTAAAGGTTTATATATTCCATTTTGTGATTTTGTGCCCCCTTGTTTCACATTAAAGGTTGGCCTGGAACCTCTGAATAGGGCAGATCTGTTTCAGCACACCAATATCTCCATAAAGTGACACTCAGCACCTTGAAAACCCATGTCAAGTCAGGCAGAGGCTTAATATAAGCCCCAAGTCACTATGACCAACCAAATTATCCTGGTATTTCTGTCTCTGCCTCATATGGGAAATAAGAAATTCAAGGGGAGAAGCGGGTTTCATTTCCCATCGTCTCCATTGGGTTTACAGCCAGCACGAGGACAGAAAAGTTAGCTGCTTCAAAAGGGAGCAATCTAAGCTCTGTTTACTTTCACTGCACTGGACATGTTTAAATCAATCTGATTTTATTCTCCATAAAACCAGTAAAGCTCAGTCTACCTTAGCCTGGTGAGTTTCTTCTACTCCCTGGTAATAGAGGGAAATGTTCTTTCTCCTTTCATTTCCACATCAGCAGGCTGGTAGTTCAAATTCCTGATGTAGATGCAGTATCTCCACCTGTACACAACCTTCCACTTTATTAATGTACTTACTTAGCACAGTAATACCACGAGGCAGATGTGTTTCAGGTGTGTAACCATGATGGGGCTGGATAAGCTCACCCTCTGCCATTCCCAACTGCAGGAGTGCCACGGGAGAAGCCTGGCATGAGATCATGCTGTCGTGCCTGAGCAACAGAGCCTGCGACCCTCTCTCCGGCCTCACCAAAAACGAATGTGGCAGCGACTTTGCCTATTTCTACTTCGTGTCGTTCATCTTCCTCTGCTCCTTCCTGGTAAGTTGGATCCCATCTCTCCCATAGTGGGAGTACTGGTGTGGACACCCCCCTCCCAGCCCTTCCCTCCTCATTCCCTTGCTTCCTACTTCTACCCAGTAATGATTTATACAACATTACAAGAGAGCTTCACTAAAACCCATTTATCATCCCGGTGATAAAATCCCTCTAATCCCCAAAGAGATCATTTAGTTATTAAAGGGGTTTATCTTCCTTCTCACAGGGGAGTCTAATATCTGTCATTAAGCATTAATCGGGTTTGTCTTGATTTCCTTTGAGGAAGCAAACTGGGCAGAGTATGGTGAGAATGGCCAAGATAACCTTGGATCATCAGTGATTGCAGGAGTCGGCTGGGAGCATCACACTTACTCGATGCATTGTGTTCCGTTTGTCACATACATGCAATGATCATTTTCTTCTGCAGTGGTGCCAGAAAAGCTTTAGACATGAAATCAGACAGAGCTGCTGTACTTGATTTGTGCTTATGGTCACCAACACCAGGCTGGGTCTCAGCTCTGACAGGTTCCAGTGTCTTTCCAGTCACTTACAGGCATAAAAAGCTCTCTGCTCTGGGGCCTTGCTTCACTTTCTGCACCACTGGGACAGAAGGATGGAAAACCAGGGACAGGGACCCAATTAAACTTTAAGGAGAAAGAGATGAATGTCAGTTCTGAAATGTATCGAAAAGCAACGTATGAAGTCTACATTCAGTTCCATGGCTTTGCTTTAAAATGTGAGATCTGGTGCTTTGTGTAGCTAATCCCTGCTGTCATCAGAGACCTTTAACCAGAAAAAGAGGCACACGTGGCAGTTTGATGCTGCGTGTAGATAGAGAGGCTTCAATGCCCCCTACTGAGATCCTTTGTCCCTTGTTGTTGCCCCTTTGACATCCCATGCTTTATTTCTTCTGCATATATCAAGAAACATGAGTCCCTTATACAAAGTTAATGCTCCATTTACTGATACCTTCGGCAGCCTATTTCAAAGCCAGTTGTTTTCCTTGTACAAATCCCTACCCCGACAACAGACATCCTTATTGTTATTTTCACGGGCATTATAGTTCCTAAAACTTGTTCTTTAAAAGACGAACAAACAGCTCCTCCTGGCTCACCCTCCCTGGCTTGTATCATCCATCATATTCCACGTGTAGTAGCAGAATTAGAGGCTGGAGCACATCTGTGCAACACAGCTTTGCATGAAGAGCTAAGGCAGTGAGGGCAGGCTCCAAAAATAGGCAGGGGAAAGCCAAGCAGCTGGGCTGCACGGGACAGGGCTATAACTCAGTTCTTCAAGAGCATTCAGCACTTCATTGCAGTAAAACATGTGGCTCCCCACAAGTGATTAAAGCATTACAGAGCCTCAGCCTGGCCAGGAGATCATTTTCATGGTTACACCATAGAGTGGGAGGGGTTGGGTAATGTATTCAGTTTTAAATGTTGTTTCTGGCTCTTTGTGAATGTCCAGCTCAACAAAATTTTCCTCCTGACATTTACACTGATGAGAAATATAAACTGAAAATTGAAAATATATGGGGATTTTAGAAACAGCTGTGTGCAAACAAGGGAAAACTGTACTGACCCATGGCTGGAGCTGGGGGCAATGGAAATGGATGTTTTGCTGTCTCTTTATGCTCTGTGGGTACTGTTGTGTGGGGGGTACCAGCAGCCCATGTGCCCATCTGGTTGTAGTGCTTGTAACCGTTGAACAGCTTATTGCTATTACCCTGCTTATGGCAGGGGATTGGAACTAGGTTATCTTTAAGGTCTGTTCCAACCCTAACCAGTCTTTGATTCAATGATTGAGAGCTGGTTTGGACACCCCTGTCCAGTACTCTATAGTGCACTGCAACAAGATCCTAGGACTTGTCTAGGCTGTGTTGCACAGAGCCCCTGCGAGCATCCTGGAACCAGGGTGGCACAAAGCACTGGCTTCATCCCCAGACCCAGCAGGGATGTTTAGTGCTGCAGGGCAGAAGCCTTGTTTGCAGCTGAGGCACTAGCAGAGCTGGTCAGTGCTTTTCTCTGTGCTCTGCAACTTGGCCTGAAGAAGATGGTATAAGACACCTCGGGACCCTAGTGTAGCCAGGCATAGATTGGGGACTGGGTTCTGCTCCCCACTTTCTTTTGGGGTGTGCTCTAGAAAATAGGTGGACTAAAGATCTGGGGAGTCCCTGATTAGCATTTGGGGGTGATTCATTATGAACTGTGATTGTCTGTGCTTGGTGGGTTGTGTGTCCCAGCAAGCACCAAGACTCCTCCTCCCTCCAGGTCCCACAGGAATTGTTTAAAACTGCCCAAACCCCAGACTCCTCTGCCTGGTTTCTTTTTAACGGCTGACAGACCAGCCAGGGATATCTGCATTCAGTTTAATTCTGCTCATCCTTGGGTGAGCACTCTCAAATGGCTTCACCACCGTTCTTCTTGCTCAGTGGGCTGAAGGGGAGCAGCGCTCATAGCAGCAGCTCAGGCTCCCTACGATAGACACAACAAAGGTAGAAAGGTGCCACTCAGGTCTTTATACAGCACAGGAGCATCCGTTCCCCCCTGCCTTCCTTCTCTTCCATTCTGCTTGCTGCAGCTTGATCTTTTCCCGTTGAAATCCTTGTGACTCTTCCATTGGCTTTAATAAGAGGAGAATCTTCAGATGTCAGAAGCATTTGCCAGGCTCTGTGTTAGTGGCCATTAGGGACAAGAGGCTTTTGTGTGTCCTGCCCCTTGTCTTTCTGGGGATCTTTGAAAGTTTGAGTTGTTCTGGGTCTGAAAATGGATATCCAGGCTGAAGAAGAGCTTTCCTCCTAGCTGTTCTTGCTTTGACGCATCTTGATATGAGAGCACTGGAAGAGTCCACCCAGTTCAACCAGTTGGTGCTGCAGTCACTGCAGCCCATGAGCTAGTCTGTGCTGAAGCAGAGTGAAGATGGGGCAGGGGAGAGGTGCTGAGCCAGTGGACTTTGGGATGGGTCATGCTGTAGGGCATTTCCAGTGATGGGGTTGAGGCCAAAAGCCGTGGCAAACCTGCTGCTTGCTGCAGAGCTGGTGGTGGCTGCAGAGGAGGAGGCAGCAGGCAGCCCAGGTACCCACTGTTAAGTCTATCGAGTTTATTCTCCAGCATGCAGCTGCTTCTTGTAGAAACCACACTAAGGACATCATTCTAATGATGCTAAGGGAATCATTCCAGCTCCTCTTCCTGCTTTTCTTCTCTTTTCCCATTCCCCTTTTTCTTCCTCCTCCTTCCCTTCTCCCTCTTCTTTTTCCTTTTTTCCCCTTCTTCTTTCCTTCTCCTTCTTCTTTCTTTACTTTCCCCTTTTCTTGTCTCTCTAACTGTATTATCACTTCCTCTCTGCAGATGTTAAACCTGTTTGTGGCTGTGATCATGGACAACTTTGAATACCTGACAAGAGACTCCTCCATCCTTGGGCCCCATCATTTGGATGAGTTTGTTCGTGTCTGGGCTGAATATGACCCAGCTGCCTGGTATGTACACTGTTATATGTGGAGAAATGCATCTCCGTTGTGTATAAATACCATACCTATACACACAAACAGCCTGTTTTAATGTGAGTACAGCTCCAGAAGGAAGATGGCTCCAAAGCTTGGAGTAACATTGATGGTAAATGCTCCAACTTCAGTTCATGGTAGACTGGACACGAACAAATCTGGTGTCATTACAAGGACATTTCCTTTATATAGACATGAACCAATGAATGAAGAAAGCAAAATGCACCCTCCACCCCCACCCCTGAGCCAAAAATTAATAGAGTAGATTCAAATGATTTTGGCTAACTGGCCAAGTAGAAAAGCTGTTTCGCATTTCCAAAAGGAGCTTTGATTGCCTTTGGTTTCTGCATCCCAGTTTGGAGATAAAAATGTGCTGAAACTCTTGCCCTTGGCAGCTCTTTAGGTAATTAGAGAGACCAGGCCTTGTTATACCTCATTTGTGCAGCATTTCTCCCCTAGTTGAGAAGCACCTTAATAGTGGTTCTCACAAATCCTGCAAAGAGACCTAAGGCAACACAAAAAACTTCAGACAATTCAAGTTTTCAAGGTGCTACCCATCTCTTAAAAGGAGTTGATGTACCCCCTTGCTTTGCATCCAAGTCAAGTGCTGCAAACTCAGCCTTCATCATTTGTGCTCACCCACCTGTGAGGCAGCAGGGAGTTTCTCCACGTGAGGGTGTTTTGCTCAAAACATGTGATTTTCAAACAGACATTTCTTATCAAACCCAGTGTTTGGATCTTGGAATCCTCCTTGTAATGCCAGCAAATTGCACAAGGGAATTTTGTTCTTCTAAATAACATTTTCAGCTTTTGGACTTGCAGTTGGAACATGAGATGAGAAATAAGAAGAAAAGGCAGGAAGCCTGACTTTGGAAGCATTTCAGTTCTCAGTGAGCCTCTGATAAAATGTTCCTGATAGATGAGTGTGCTAAAGGAAGAAATGGTTTTCTCACAGCAGTTGGTGAGCTGTTTGGGTTTATGGTTTTACTTCTTTGTTTTCCTTATTCAAAGACATCGCCAGAGAATGCAGATTGTCTGGGATGAAATATCCCAGTGTAATGGAGACCCAGGAGCCACTGCTGAAGCATTTTAAGGGATTTATTAAACTAAGGAAATGGTTCTGGTCAGTGGTCACTTCGAGAGCAAGACTTTGCTTTTCTCCATTGCCCAGAGAAAGCTACTGCACAACAGTCCTGGCTGTTGGATGCATTTCTAGATGGTCAGTCACAGTAGTTTCCTTGCAATTCTCCAGCTTGGGAATTTGCCTGTTGGGAGACTTAGCCCTACTAATTCTGTATCCATTTGCTTCCCCCAAACTTACTCTGAATCTACTCTGTGTTTGCAATGAAGCTGCCTCCAGCTCCTCCAATCTTTCTACTCTTTTTCATCTCCCTTCAGTAGAGACAGATGCAGCAAGTGTTTGTATAATCAGCATCACAAACTCCCTGCTAGGATGCAATTAAACCACTTTAAAATCTCAGTTAAATTGATTTAGGCTAAATTTAAGTGTAAACCTATTCCAAAACAACTGCATTTCTCTGCACTGTGTGTGATTTTTAACTAGCTCAAAGCCAGCCATACCATGAGCCTGAATATATACTGCAAACATACTAGCAGCTTGTAATCTCCGAGCAGATTTTTGTTACCACATGCTCTATAACACAGACAAGTCTTTTGTGGGTATTTGGCAGGCAGTAAATAGTGTTTTTTTCCCCATTTTCAAATCCAGTCCTATCTTTGCCATTAGAAAATCTCAATGAGACTGAAAACTTGGGAGTGCCCGTTCTCTCCTTATAAATAGTCTTGGCTCTGGTGAGCATCTGTGGGAGGAGTAGCACACCTGCAAGGGGAAAATTTAGTATCAATGTGGCTTTTTAATGTTTTATGTGTTCAGGAACTTTCCACCCATAAGAGTCAGAAGCATTAAGCTTACAGAAAGATTTGCTAGCCTTATTAACTCTGAGCACAGAGGTGGTGTTTCGTGAGTCACACAGAGGCCAAACCTTTTCACTTCTAGAGTATTTAATGCAGAGTATGTCATATATTAAGATCCTAATCCTGTTTTTCTCTAAGCTTGTTCCCATTTTGCTTGGTGTGAAGCTATTGATGTTGGCAGAGGGACCAGGGGCAGAAGTGAGAATCAAAGGACAGCCAATGCGTGATGCTCGAGGCTTGATCCTAAAACATGCACATGTTGTGGATTTTCCATGTGAACAGTTCCACTGAAATCACTTGTGTTTCCATAAGATGGACTAACACATCCTCAGTTTAAAGGTAATCTGAAATCTATTCACAGTTTAAGGACACAAGAGATCTTTTTGATCATTTGGGCAGAACTTCTGTGAAGCTCTGGACATGGTGCTTCACAACAGCTCTCCATGGACTGAGCTTAATGACTCATCTTTCAAGGTACAGCTCCCAGGAGCACATCCCATCTTGAAGACACAGGGTTTTAAAAGAAGCATTTTTTTTATTCTGCCATTTGTTCACTGGCTGATCAAACTCATTGAAAGAAAATGTTGATCCATTTTTTGTTTTCCATGTCAGCCCATCTCCTTTTAGCATTTCAAGGCCAAGCTGGATGGGGCTTGGAGCAAGCTGCTCTAGTGGAAGCTGTCCCTGCCCGTGGCAGGGGGTTGGAACTGGAGGAGCTTTAAGGTCCCTTCCAACACAAACCATTCTACGGTTTCAGCTCCCAGTATAGACATTTTTCCTTAGCTATCTGAGATAAAGAGATGCCGATGAAAATAAACAGAACTCAAATGGATTTAACCTGGGAAAGAATCCCTGTTTGTCATAATTTGACACGATTTGCTGCCATAACCTTCTGATACAATACCTCTGCTGGTTTGAAGGCCCTCCATGGACTCTCCCATAGAGGAACTGCTCATGCATATTTTCTTCGCATTGAATTTACAAAACCATTCTATAATTTCAGTAAACTTCTTGACTCATTTAAACCAATGTACTTTTTATAACCACAATTAGGCCTGCAGCCAACAACTTGCACAGTTCCATTTGATCTCTTTCCGAATTAATAGTTTTGAGTGGATTGTGAAGGTTTTGAATAGACCTTAATTTTTCACTTCCAAAAAAGCAATAATATTGAAGGAGGCAGTCCAAAATATTCCAGCCTTCTTTCTATAATGTACCAAAATAAACATAGTGAACCCAAATCATCTCATTTTTCAGGAGAGGTCATCTTGAAGTTCAGCGCAGTTCATTTTGTACATGAGTTGGTTGCTCACAATAGATTAAGAAATCTAATCCTGCTGTTAAATTAGCTTAAAATATTGTTGGGAATTAATGAGACTGAGAATAAAGCTACCTCGAGGTATCTGATTTCACCTGCTGGTAACAAAGGTTTTCCCAGTGCCAATGGCCAAGCCAGGTCTCATGATGGCAGTTTCTGGACTCAGCTTATTACCCATAAAGCAGAGCACAACCCCGCTGGAGTTATGTGGGTGGTAACAGTGGAAGGTGATGGTTCCCAAGCTCTTTTGAGCCAGCTAATTGGAATCCCAGTAATAACCCATTAAACAGGCTGTTTGTGTGCTGCAGGCTCTGGTTTTGTTGGGCACATTAGTGATAAAGGTAACCAGATGCAGTGGTTGGAAAGACTTGAACATCACTTGAAGTTTTCAACAAAGAAAACACCAGGATATAGATGTTGTTGAGCAGCTGGAAGTTCTTCCTTTCTCTGTGTGTGTTAAAGTGCCTCCTTCATTGCAAGCCCAGTCGCTCTCAGACTAACCTTGCTTTTCAGTGTGTTTTGCTCTTCCAACTTCTCCTGTTTGCCTGGGGAAATACTGATTTTTGCTGTCATAACATCTGATGTTTTCTTTCCAGTTGCCGGATTCATTATAAGGATATGTACAATTTGTTACGTGTTATTGCTCCACCCCTGGGCTTAGGAAAGAAGTGCCCTCATAGGGTGGCCTACAAGGTTTGGAACTTCAGAGACTCCCTCCAGCATTTTCAGTTCTCTTTTTGTTTCTTTTTACACCCCACAACCTCCCCTCCAAGTGCAAATGCAACCAGTACAGAAAAGAAACTGCAACATAACTAACCCCTTGCCTGAAAGAAGGAATGATTGACTGATTGCCTCCTTGTTCCTTGATGCATCTCTTCCCCATCTACTCCCACACCCCAGCTGGCTGGAGACAGGCAGCTTTATGAGACAGTGAACCCTCCAGCTTCCATCCTGCCAGGTCTAGGTGGGAAGTGTTGGGGAAAAGCAGCACAGCACCCAAGCACTTTCTCTCTATATATACACACTGGAGAGAAACGTCCCCCCAAGCTTTACAGAGAGCTGTCCATCGTGTTTGGGCTTCAAAGTGTTGTCATTCCAGTTGGATGATTAGCATTTGAGCCCCTCCCTTTCCTGAGCCAAAAAGATGTTTGATCTGGGCACTGGCTAACAGGGCAGCAGGGTGGGATGGTTACCTAGGCTGTGGAGAGATGAAGGGGTGAGCTTTTACCAGTGCAACAGCCAGACATTGCCTTGGAGGGAAAAGTACGTCTCCGAGATCCAATGAAACCTCCTTGCTTATAGCACAGGAGAAGTACAGTGTCCTTGGGAGCTGAGGTGGAAACTAAGGACAGATCTTGCAAGAAAACAGCACAGGATGGCACTGGACTTAGTGGGGTCCCAGTTAAAGGCAGGGATTTTCTTACAGTCAGTACATAGAGAACAGAAGAAAAGGAGAGGCAAATGGAAGGAGCCAGCATGGAGCTTGCTTTTCTCTTTCACTCCAGCCCAAGTGTTCTCCACACCTGATTTGGGGATTTAGAGTTATTAAGCACTGCAGAAAAGGCATGAGACCCTCTACCTCCTGCCATTGAACAGAGGCAGAAGAGAGGCATCAGGGGCAAGCCATTGACTCTTATTGCAATCTGTGTCTCTCAGCAGCCTTTAAATTAGCTCTGGGCTATAAAACCTGGGTGGTATTTTAACTGCATTAGTTACCAAGGACAGGAATAGACATTTTTGGCTTGGTAAGTTCTCTCTTCCACCTCCTCCTGCATCAATGCTTTAACATAGGGATTGAGACCCGTGTCCGGGCAGTGTGCTGGTGCCTGCTTCTGTAGCTGTCCTGCTTGAGATAAGGGGTTTCAGATGGGTGCTTCGGTCTTGGTTTCTTTCCTAGTATAGCGACAATACTATCCTGCTTTTATAGACGTTAAACGTTAATAACATGTTACAATATACTTAAGTCTCCTCAGATGACAGGCAGCACAGATTTGCACAATGTAATAAGCTGACAGCTCCCTGGGAAACCTAAATGGGATTGTCATAGTCATGCTCCCAGTTTCAGTAGCCAGAAAAAAGCAGAGCAGGAGAATTCCTTGTGGTTTCTGTGTCCCCTGCTTTTCAGTGCAGGATGTTATTTGCCACCAACACGAGCTGAAGGTAGATGCCATCAGTAATGGGCTCGTCTAAGGGCCTTTTCCCAGGTCCCTGCAATTCCCAGCTCTCTTTAATGCAGGACAGCCAGCTGCTCATGGTGGCAGAAACAACCGTTTGACGTTGGGTCGATGGAAGAGGGACCCCATCACACATAAAGGAGAAACAGGTCCCCTTTCCACCACCTTCCTGAAAAACAAGTGCTGGGCTCTAGTTCTGTCAAATTCAGGCTGGAGGTTGTACAGAGCTGCACGTTTGGCTTGGAGCCAGAGCAGCCCCGGTCTGTCCCCTGAGCAGACACACCAGGATTGGCTTTTTGCTTCTCTCATAGCCTACAAGGTAACCTGAAAAACAAACTCTTTATTCACTGAAGGAAAGCTGAATGAGTTCTCCAAGCCCTACCTCTCCCTGTCCCATAACTCTGCCTACCAGCTCTCCCTGGCATGGTGAATACAGAAGGGGAAGCATCCTCCACCCCTGCAAAGAGCCAGCTAACCCAAGCCCTCCCTACACCCTCTCCACCCCAAGCAGAGACATCAATCATTCCCCACAGGGACCCAATTGCCGAGGCGCAGCTCTGGCCATGGGACATCCCTGCAGCGAGGAGGAGACGTTGGGCATTGAAACACAGCAACGGAAGCAGAGAAACCTTCATATTTACCCACCTCTTTGGTTTTGTTTTCCTGAGAAGTCTGATTAACCAGATCTCTGTTTTCTTGTCTGATTTCCCTTCTCTCTCCTCTTTTTCATTTGCTTGGTTGTGTTGCCTTTTTTCCCCATCCCCTTCCCTTTTTTTTCCCACCCCTCCACCCGGTCTGGTTTGGTTTCTGTGTCCTCTTGCTTTTGCCTCCCTCCTTTTGACTCCAAGCGGGCGCATCAGTTACACAGACATGTATGAGATGCTGAGACACATGTCCCCACCTCTAGGCCTTGGAAAGAAATGCCCAGCTCGTGTTGCCTATAAGGTAGACCAACCCCCAAGAAACTCTTGCCAAACCACCAGCTTTTTGTGCCGTGGCTGAAGTGGGTGCCGGGTTTCTGTGGCGTTAGTGTTGTTCTCCTGGACTTTGCTGGTGCTTCCTCTGCTTTCCGAGCAGACTGGATTTTGGATGATCTGCTTTTAATTCTTTTTATTCTTTAGTAACTTTTTTTTTTGTCTTTAATTTTATGGCACATCACTGTCTTTATAAGTATGTCTCTGCTCTCTCTATCAGTGTTTCTCTCTCTCCTCTCTCATTCTGCTTCCATTTAGGCTAATCTGGGGAGGGAGGGTGCTAATGACCAATTTACCCCACAATATGATCGCCATTTATCTTCCTAAAGCTTTGATTCTCAGTTCTCACTAGCCCTTCAGTAGTATGTTGTTTCCCCCCCCTTCTTAATTAGATTGGAGTAATCAGAGTAGGCAGTGCTGTAGGTGTTAGCAAGCCATTAAACAGAGGCAACACCAGAAGGGCTCCTGAATTACCCTTTGTGAAAGAAATGATTTGAACAGAACCCACTGAAGCCAGGAAGATGAAGAAATCACTCAAACTTATTGTTTACTGTGGAAAACTTTTTAATTGAATCACAAGAAATGCATTCTAACCAAAAGGCTGCAAGCTGCTGCCTTCCAGACACTGTCTGCATGAATGCAGTGGAAACACAGGGTCAAGATCATGGAGTGGACCCAGACCCTGCCAGTTAAAGCCATGCTGATCATGGTGCTTGGAAATCTGCCTTTGTAGGGTCTATTTCTTTGGAAGCTCTTCACATGGAGCTCCATAATTTTAGAGGGAGAGGTTTGCCACAAGCACTGGTATAGCATTGGTACAACTAAGCATCCATCAAACTCAACAGGAGTTTGTTGCTGTTGATGGCATTTCAGCCACCAGCAAGCCCAGTTACTGCATCCCATCCTGCTGGGTGCGATGGATGCAGATCACAACAGCCCCTTCAGTAGTGCTTGGGTTCTCACCGAGGCCATATGAAAGCAAGATTTTGTGAGAAACTCAAGCTGAACCCAGAAGTGGGCCTCCCTTTATGTAGGGCAGTTAGCAGCAAGAAGAGGTTCAGATACAGCTTCCTACAAGATCCTTCCTTAGTGTGTTAGGATTTAAAAAGGAAAATTAAAGATAACCTTAAAGCAAGCCTGTTAGATGTCTTTTCTGTATTCCTTTTGATTTGTTTCTGGCCACTTTGGAAGGTGCTTTAAAAGCACATCTCTATTACAAGCAGTTCATACCCACCATGCTGTAGCTATGCTTGAGAAACCCAGGTACATCAAAAAGTCAGCTCCCAGGTCTCAGCTATTTCAGACAGGGGTGGACAGCTAAACATCTGTATAGACCTACCAATTATACACAGAAACCCAATGATTTTTCAAGTAATCAATGTCTCCTTTTAGCACCCATGGGTTCCTATTGACTTCAAATGGAGCTGTGACCTGCAGCAGGTGTTTGCAGCAACCAGATCTGCTCCATGGTCACACATGAGTACCAGAAGCATAAAGCTCTTCCTCCTCTTTTCCCCTGATCTTGTATAGTTAGAAACAAAGAAAATAAAAGAGGATAAAAAGATCATGTGTTAAAATAGACGGTTTTTTACAAGCCTTTTGCTGGTTTTCATAGCATGGTGTTTCTCTGCCTTTATGTGACTGTGCTCAGCTCTTGCCGCAGACTGTCTCTGGGCAAGGGCACTGAGAATGTGTCATTTCCCTCTGAGTTAGTTGGTACCTTGTTTTATTTGTCTGTCTTTGCAGGACAAATCCACAGAATTTAGGTACCTAGACACAGACTCCTGCTTCTTTTACTTTTCTAACACATCCTTAATTTTTACCCATCTGCTTATGAACCCTGTGAAAGGTGTCTGTGTATGAACCACAATGATGGGAGACCTGGGGAGGAAGTGCAGCCCACACAGAGCCAGCCTGAGCCTGTCAATACAGTAATGTATTGACATGACTGTGACAAAGACCCCCTCGTCCTGCACCGTAGCTCAGTCAGTGCCAACAGCAGCCAGGACTTTGTCTCTGCGTTACTTTTGCTCTCTCCCTTTGAGCCAAATGACTTTTTTACTGTTCTGTCTGGCAAAAGCTCTTTTGCCCCACATATCCACCCCTTTCCTTTCCATATTCCCAGTCCTCTCTGAAGAGGTTTTGCCCTGGGTCTTTGTCTATGTTGCCTTCTCAGTATGTGCCCACTGTGATTTTGTTTGGATTTTCCCCTCTTGTGGCCTCCTTGGCTGCTGTCCTTCCTTTCTGGTGTTTTCTGGTTCCTCTTTCTCAACTGTTCTCCTTGGTCACTGTGACCAGCCTCTGCAGTTTTGTGCGTGTGGCTTGCTGCTTGCCAGGAGGTGCATGCGTTGGGTTCTCTGGCCATGATGCTTGGGCACCAGGAGAGCTCTATCCTGCACAGGGTGGAGGGGGTAAAGGGGGAAGGAACTGAACTTGAAAATCTCTTCTACCCTCTGTGTTGAAAAGAGGAAGAAAACCACTTTGACTTCACTCAGGGGTCTTCAGGTTTGATCACTTCTTTTTTTAGATGAAAGTGGTGATGTTG